TACAGGTTACTTATATTACATGTTATTTGGGTACTTCTTGCATAATTTTCCAGTACATGAAATAGACATTCCAATATATACATTGCTTTGCGTTAGACATCCTATATCCCTTATTCATAATACAAAACATATATGTTACCCATGCATTTTTATTAGATATTTCTGCATTTATATTGCATTACTTTAAATTGCATAACTTACTTATACATAGCTTACTGATACACAAAAATATTTACTTATTACACTACATATATTACACTCCCTTACATTACTTTGCTTACAGATATATGCACTTTCATACATTCGTTATGCCTGCATTATATATCGGTTCATTATATATGGTCTTACGGTATAATTTGCCGAAATTTACTGGTACTACTACAGGAGAAGATATCTTTAATTGTGTTTTTGGACTTCTGCAGAAATACAATCTACCTTTGGCAAAATTAAATTCTGTAGCTACAGATGGCTCTCCATCAATGACCGGGAAAAACAAGGGCTTTAGCATTACTAAGAAAAACACTTAGTGAAATTCACGGTTCAAACATTCATCATATGCATTGTATTATACATCAAGAAGTTCTATGCACGAAAGTAATAAATATGGAGAATGTTTTGTCATATATAAAAAGATGTTTGTTATAAATTTTATAAGATCTCGAGGTTTAAATCAGCGTCAATTCACTGCTTTCTTAAGTGAGTTAGATAGTGAATATTCGGGTTTGTCCTACTATACCGAGGTACGTTGGTTATCTTGCTCCAAGATTCTCAAACAATTCTGGGATTTGAAAGAAGAAATATGTCAGTTTTTAAAAACGAAAAATCAAGACGTAAGTTTGTTTTACGATCCAATATGGATACAAGATTTATCTTTCTTGGTTGATATAACCAAACACTTAACTGATTTAAATTTATCGTTAAAAGGAAAAGATTATATCATTACGAACATGTTTGACATAATTATAGCATTCAAACGTCAACTAGTTTTTTGGGAAAAACAACTTAAAAATGAAGATTTGACGCACTTCCCGACGTGCAGCATGAACAAATCAAGTTTAGATGATACTTGTTCGTATCAAAAATACGCAGAAAAATTGCAAATTTAACAACTGAATTTGAAACGAGGTTTAATGATTTTAGTTCCCTCGAAGACAATTTTTTTTTTTTTTTTTTTTTTTTTTTTTGTTTTCTCGATTTTCTCAATAAGTATTGACTCAGTACCCAGCCATATGCAAATGGAGGTGATCGAGATTCAATGCAACTCAAATTTGAAAGCAAAATTCATTGAAGTGGGAGTGCCTGAATTTTACAAATATTTACCAGCCAGGTTTGAAAATACTCGAAAATTCGCATATGAAATTATTTCCATGTTTGGTAGCACTTATCGGTGCGAGCAGTTATTTTCAGTCATGAAAGGTAATAAGTCTCCTATTAGAAACCGTATTAATGATGCTCACCTTGGGTCAGCGTTGAAAGTTATCACTGCAAACAAAATTTCTCCTGAAATAGGAAAGATAATAGCAGAGAAGAGATGTCAAGTATCAGGACGTAAAGATTAAATTTTTCTTGTTCTTTTCTATATAATATATATATATATATATATGTTTATTATTGTATTATTCGAAATAAATCTACGTTTCTATGAATATTGATTAATTTTTTTTTTTTTTTTTTTTTTTTTTTTTTTGAGGCCCGCCTAAAGTTAAACCTTGTTTGTTTGGCCCAGGTGTACCTATTATATGTAAAATATTTACATATAATACGTACACTATTACACCCATTTATGAGTTCGACATCCCTGCTTTAAACCCTGCCTTAGATACGCATACACTTCCTGGCACTTGCAAGGCGGTGAATCTTTAAAACACTTAACGCAGAGTAGAATACTTTAAGATACGCTCGAATTGCTGGATTTGCTGTGAACTTACATTGAAAAAACTATTTATTAAACTACACAAATTACTTAAATTTCATGCATTTCTTTTATTAAATGGTGTTTTATAACATCAAGAGGCATAGTATTTATTTCTAGTCAATAGTTAAAGGACGTGCGCTTTAAAGGCCGATACAAAATGACTATTGTTTAGTACAATCGATACAACTCGATTATCTGGATGCGAATTATCCGATTTGCAGGTTATCCTTGCTTGGTGATCCGATGTACGTACACTCAATATGGTGTGCGGAAGTGTGTAAAAACAAAAATGCGAAAGTCCGAGTATGCTTTAAAAAAGTGTTGGATTGCATTTTTAGGGTGAGGTTCAAAGATTACCCCATGCAACTCATTTTTCGCATTAAGAGCGTTCGTTTTTAAGAAATAAAGACATACAATGTGCATGAAAATTCACAATATGGATTATCCGTGACCTGCTTCCCTGGCATTAGTGCAGATAATAGAGAGGACATTGTACTAGGCGACGATTCTATTTAAAAGTCTTCTGTAAATTTAGAAAATAATTTCTTTCACATTTTTAATTTTTTATCTTAAAAATACAAAGACAATTCAATTTGAAAGCACTCCATAAACTCAGCAACAAATTCAGATTATTAAGTTTTCCTTAATGATTTTGAATTCCAGCTCATTGCACTAAGAAATCACATATAACTGGGCATCTCGCAACAATTTTACGGAATCCCAATCTTGATCCTCTTTAGCATCAAGTAAAATGTACTATCTGATAATGTACCTTTTTCAATGGCACATTGCACCTGTAGCAAACGTTTAGCAACTTCAGACATATCACCGGCTGTCTGATACCTCTTTGAGCGCAGTATGAATTTGGACATGATCTGTACCACAACTGCCGTACGATCAATCTCAGCCTATCTAAGCTGATATCAGATCAACTGATTTTGGGCGGGGGGCTAGTGTAATGATAGTCAATGTTTTCTGCTGTCTGCTGTCTGCACCCCTTTTCGTCATTCCTAAACCATCATTCTTCCTTCCTTTTCCAGATGTCGAAAAGTATATCTACATTTACTCAGATTTAGATTATTATTTAATGCATTTTATAAATTAAACAAGGAAAAGTACACAAAATGTTGATAAAGAACAAAACTTGAAAAGTAGTTTTATATATCCGTAAACTAAAACTAAATGTTTAACAGGTAAATAAAAGCCCGACCTCATTCCATCCCAAGGAGGGATTCCCCTACACCTCGATTTAGAAACCCTGTTCTAGTGCTTTCATGCATAACAGACCAGTGGTTGCGCCTTGGTGCAGTTCCTGGTTATTGCCACATCAGAAGCAGAATAACTTAGTCTGCGTTAATAATACATCCAGATTAAGTTGTTAATTTTGCCACATTAACTCTCTTTATTTTCGGCATACTTTTGCAGATCATTCTTTGTTGCTTTTGTCTGCTTTGGGTTTACTTGTTAATAAGTGAATATGTAATTCTTTGGAAAGGAAATGAGAGTATATGCTTTTTCTCTTCTGTTTTTGTGCCTTTATCCATTAATAGTTCATCCATATTCTTAAGTACGTTTAAATTAAATAAATAAAATGTAAATTTTCAATATATTGCACTGGCATCTTAGACTTTTTTATTCAAAAATAAAACTTCATATAATGTCACACATGATTAATTTGGTAACTTGTTTTATCCTCTATGTATATCAGTTATTCGGAATCCACTTGTAGGGTTCTGGTATTGTCTACATCAGGGGTTCTCAACCGGGGAACCCTATCAACATTTTATTTAACTGCTCAGTATTTAGTTTTAGTTTATGAATGTAGGAAAACTACTTTTATTCAAGTTTTGGTATTTGTCAGCATTTTACATACTTTTATCGTTTAATTCATAAAGTATGTTAAAAAATAATGTAAATCTTAATAAGTGAATATGTAATTTTCAGTTTGGGGAAAGGAGAGGGAATGAACTTCTAGCGGTGGTAAAAGCGGTGCCGGGGAAAAAGCATCTGAAAACCCCTGATCTAGAAGCATATCTCAATGTCGTGTAGAGCCTACTAGTCTGGGAAGAGAGTTCTTGCTTTTTTCTGAAGCAGATGACGAAGTCCTACGAAAATTAAAATAACCTTTCTGTTTAACTCTTAAAAGGGCAGAAGGCACTATCTGTTCTATAGATGAACCTCCGCTACTTCTGAGTGTTTAAATTAACATAAGATAACCTTAAAGTCAAATATAGGTAACGTAGTTTGAGATTACATGCACAATAAACTGACTCAAGGTATTTAATGGTGAGTATTTTAAACGTTGGCTAGCAAGACACTCAAGCCGGAATAAAACTTTGACAGAGCTGGCGATAGTATATAAAAGCAAGGCGAGGCTGCCAGAAGCTCTAAATCTGCAAGTAAATCCTGCACCCAATGGGCTTGAATATACAACAACTAATTTGCATTCTAATGAAGACTACGGAAAGCAGAAGTAAAGTTCATGTCATAATAACTGACTATTTAGTATAAAATTCTACTCAAAGTATTATCAATTTAAAACAAGCAACAACTAATTCCATTGGCTTGGAAAATGATAATTATAAAGGTAATCTATGTGTCAGAATCATAAAGAACTAATAATTATGATTTAGTAATTAAACCTATAAAAACTGTTACATGTGTTTTTATAATGCAAGTTAATTTAAGGTAGACTGTAAAGCTTCTTTCTTTTTTAATTATAAATACGCATAATAAAATTATACACAACCTTTTTCCCTCTTGATGTCCTGACTCTCTGAGATTAGAAAGAAATCAACTCGGAAGTCTGTACTAAATTTGTAGAATTTTGCATCTCGTATATTAAAAGATGTTTGAAACTGAAGTTATTATTCTACTTACTTATAAAACAAATTAAATCTCGTTTTAATTTTTGTCTGTTGGTGCTTGTTTTATTAGCTCTGCAAAACTATTCAGCTAAATGTTTTGGTAAATCTGTAGCTAATATTAAAGATTTAGAATGTTTATATGCAATTATTGCTTCCAACATTTAAATTATTGGTATCATTATAAAATAAGAACTCAGTTCCTTTCAAATTTACTTTAGGTGGATTTTGAAAGCCCAAGGAACATATCGGCAGTAGTCACCAAAGGCGATGCAAAATTACCACAGTGGGTGACTTCATTTCAAGTTGCTTACAGCAGTGACGAAGATAATTGGATACCAGTGACTAATGAAAAAGGAGAAGCAATCGTAGGTATTTTCAACAGTATATTAGGAGGCTTGTTATTTTCTTTTTGGCTCACGTAGAGCTTTAGGTTTCGAATAATGATGAGTTTTATCATTCAATATCTATCCATTCAGACTGCATTTCTTAGGGAAATAGTCATACAACATGCTTAATTACTTTGTAATTAAATTTTCATGGGTTTAGCATCTAATTATAGCATATCACGTGCGTTATATAGTGGAATCTTCGATTAAAAAATAATTTGGTTCACAAATACCTTTTCCAAAGACAAAACTTCTTGGACGATGAACGACGTCTTGAGAGTAAGCCGGCAACAAATGATACTCCAAAATGCAGTAAATGCAGTGGAGAAAGTGTCTTCAAAAGAAGACTGAAGAAAGGGTGTTCTTAGTTATATGACCTACGAAGTATTTGTGCAAAATGAGGTAAGGATCAAAGGTTCATAGAGTACTATCACCTTAATAAAGTAGTAGAGCAATTTTTGCAATGATAATATCATGTCTTGTTTCAGGAACACTTTAAAACGTAGATAAAAATAAATCACTTTTTTTATTAAAAACACGAACAATTCCCAATGTGCCACCAAATATTATATGGGACTTACAGATTTAAGTAGGAAACACAATACAAAAAGACTTTTAAAAATTTTGAAGGCTTACAATCATTTTACAAAATTAATCAAAGCACTTCTCTTAAAGGCTCATCTCTCTAAATTGATGAAAATCATTAGGACATTAAATATTAATGTTTTTAAGGGCCAATTTTAAGATTTCTCTTACAATTTTAAGTTTGAAACACTGAAGAAGCACATTCAACATTTTCCTCGCCACCAACGTTGCAATCACAAAATGTCTCTGGACCCAACTTAAATCTGCTGAGATAACTTTTAAAGTTTTCATGGCCAGTAAGAAATTGGGTCTTTTGTGACTTGTAAAACAATTATGACATGATAATCTTATTTTGATGGAAGAGGAAATCTCTTAATTAAGCTCCCTCTATTTGAACTAATATATCTATAATTCCACGACTCCGCAATACTTTCATACATGACCTTCTTATAAAAGGATTTAAGGATATTAACAAAAATGTCAATTTCGCGCTTGGTGGCAGTTTTTTGCAAGCAAATAGGCCCTTTAATTCTCAATAACAATCGTGTCTTTAGGAACAAATGTAAAAGCAACCGAAGCGTTTTTATCTTTTAGGTTTTTAAGCTGTTTTTGAATCTCGACGATTATGTTATAAGAAATACATTTTATGGTCTCTAAGAACGAAGAGAAATCTGTACAAGTGAGGTAGTTTAAAACAGGGCTAATTTTTTCAGTGATCCATTTGATGACGAAATTTAAGCACAAAAGTCCAGCTATAGAAACCATGCATTTATCTCGAATTCTAAATTGAAAGTGCTCAATTTCAAGACCATTTCTGGAGACTACAAATGAAAATCCAACTTTGATACCAGTTTTACTGCCATCAGTATAGCAATAATAATGTGCGATTTTATTGTTAAACTGAATAAAAAAAGATAGAGGCAAAACGCAATCAAAACTACAGTCGGAAGACGCAGAGAGGTTTTCCGTAAAGACAATATTATGAAAAATGGCAATGTCGATAGGAGAAAAACCAGATATTGCATAAACACTCTTTACTTATGGTACGATATCTACAAATGACACGAAAGAGTATCTTAATTTGAATGCGTCGACGATATTTATAATTTATCTTCCTCTTAAGCGCCATGCTCCAAATTCTAGAGCCCTAAATTATGAGGAGTTCAATTCCTTGCTTATGCATGAGCGAATGCACTTTGAAATTAATACCGTGAGTGTTGCTTTCAATTCTACTTAATCCACGCTATAATTTATTGCATTTCTCTGATACGTAAGTTAAACGTCGCTTCCAAGAAATTTTACAGTCAGGAAAATCTCCAAGATAATTCATTTGTTTTATCACAGCCAATGGAGTTCTGTCGAGAAATAACTAAAATGCATCATAATAAGCGTTTTTCTTTTCAATATCATGACTCTAGTTTTATCAGGATTAAAACCCGATTGAAAACCTTTGAACCAATCGGAGGCAAGATTTAAAGTCTCCTGTGAGTGAAAAAAAGTAGCAGGAGATCCCTACTCTGGAAGCAAACCATAATATTATCCTCAATGCCTATAGTATCGCTACAGGCAAGATTTTAAATAAATCACTATCGCAATTATTTTAATAAATGACATTGAGAAATTTTTTAGTGAGAAAAGGGTCCAGCGATTCTGAAGTAGCAGTTAGAGATGAGAAGAGGTAAATTAAAAATAATAGTTATCTCATATTTTTACACAATAGGATTTCTCTTTCAAACAATAACATTTTGCACCTTCAGCTTCTTCAAAGTTTTCTACTTACACTGTCAACTTTCCTTCGCACAGAGACAGTAGTTTAAGATTTCCTATTTTTATGTTAAGTATACTATTAAATATTGTGATGTTTCGCGTTACGAACTTACATATAAAGCAGTCTTTTCTAAGCAATCATGTGGAATCCAGGAACGAATCAATTCAATATGCATTAGCTCCTATGGGGAAATTGTTTTAGTTTACGAATACCTCGGTTGATCTTTAGGAATGAATTAAGTTCGTCAACCGAGGTTTCATTGCATTTAATCGTATCAAATATTATGAAACAATGTTCATTTGATTTCTTTTTATTATGCTCAAAATGCTAACTCATGTCATCTCAGTGCATAGTATTCATTTTCTCCGCACACCTCCTAAGGCAAAAATGTGTAAGTACACAACTGTTTATATGGAGCAGCCAACAACTTCGGAAACTGAACAGAAAACTAGCTTTATTTGCCCAAGTGGTTTTCTGCCAATTATTGAAAACTTTCAGTATACCGATGGTCGACTAATGTTGTTTCTTATATGAAAGAGATTTAGCACAGGCATTCAGAACGACTTGCTGCTGTGTAGATTCATTTTCATAGCGTATGCAGAATCTAATTACTGCCGGTCCCTCTAAGCCCCAAAATTATTTATTACCACTCCATAATCCTCGTTTTTATTTTATAAAAGCAAAGAAAATACTTGCTGAATGCTGGAAAATAGAGCTGTGTTTAAGACTTCAAACTAGCTTAATCAAACGCTGTATATATGCAGTGAGGTATCCTCTGGTATTAAAATGACTGACGAGTTTTTTCACAGTATTTTTTCTGCAAATTTTTACTAAATAATTTTACTATATTATCACTTATAGCATCGATCAGCAGTAGGCATGCTTTGCTTTCGAAGCTGGACACAGTTTTTTTGGTTCTTCAGTCCCTTTTTGAATGTAGCAACGTTTCTCAATCTATGGTCAGCGGACTACAAATGGTCCTTGAATCTATGGTCAGCGGACTACAAATGGTCCCTTCCTTGTTTTCATCGTAGATTTCCAAAACAAATAAATAAATAAAAACTAAGATTAATTACGCCAAATTATAACTGAAAAATCTCAGAGTCTGAAAATTACTCCTGGAAATCTCAACTAATTTTTACTATAACTGATATTTTATGAAATTATTATGAATTATTTTTTAGTTACCCTACCTATTAACTTCTCACTGTAGTCTTAGCAAGGAAAGAGGGATTTAAAGCGTTATTACTGAGGTGCTTTTCAAACCAGCGTACATCCAAACATAGAAGAGCTGTGCAAGAATCGCCACAATCATCCATCTCTCCTTACTGAATACCAAAGTTTATTTAAATTTTTAGTTAATAATACCAAGATCGTCCTAACTCTAATAATCTCGAATTATTAAAAACAAATGTAATTTTTCTTTTATTAGCTTTGCTATTTAATGCCAATAAAAAATTAAATGAATTTGGATTAATTATATTTTTAAAATATAAGCATAATGGTAATTGTATTTTTAAAATAGCATACATATATTACAAAAAAAAAAATGCTTTCGAATGAAAGAAGAGTAAGATGGTCCGCACAATCTTCTAATTCATAAAAGTGGCTCCCAATTAAAAAAAAATCCTGAGAAACGTTGTGCTAAACAAATGTATTCCTCAACAGCTGTTAGCTGTTCACAAACAGATTTGCTTATTAGCTCAAAAATACTCAATCACGGTAGTCTTACCCTTTTGTCACTAACAACCGCAATAGTCTTGCCTACTTCACTAACAACCGCAATAGGTCTCACAGCTGATCTCAACAGCAGCTTTTTAATTCTATTTTATTTATTGGTGTGTATTTTAATTTGTCTGTTTTAATTTGTCTGTTTTAATTGCTAGTTTCCTTTTTCTCAACTACGCGATAATCAAACTCTTTTCATTCTTGATATGCAGAGGTAGTCCAGAATAATGAAAATACCTAAAGCATAAAATAATGTGTTTCTAATATGCTGCAGAAGCAACTTTTTGGAACTGTTTTCAAGTGACTCATTTTCTTTCAATGCGAACTAAGGTTTACAAAACACAAGCGAAATCTGCGGTTTTAAAACCTTGAAAATGTATATAAATACCATATTTACTCGCGTAATTTCCCTACTTTTATTTCTAACTTTTTGATACAAGGATTCAGAAAAAAAATTATGAGAATAATGTAATTCCACGGACGCGGTTATAGTAAGAACATATTTGAAAAGTATTGACAGATATACTACCGGTAACTATTGCAATATTATGCATTTAAAAGAAACCTAAATTGCAATAAGAATACATAGTAATATTAACATTATAATATCTAAAAAGATATCTTCATTTCTACTTCTTGGTATCTTGAAGCAAACCCGCTTTTGTTGCTGTCCACCACTATTTCCTTGTTCTCTATTCATTGAGTGTTGCGAGAACTTCTGTCTGTGTCTTCTGCTATAGACTGTAAGTCCTCACCATCGTCTCCGATTTCATAGTATTTGTCACTGTGTAATCTGCCTTCCGTTATGGAATAATATTCAAATCTATCATGAACATAGCATAAACCTGTTGTCTTGAAGTTCTTTAGAATAATTATTTCATCAATACTCACAGCACATATCATTAGTACTGAATAAATCCATTAGTAAGACGAAAGCAGCCACTACATGTAAAACACATTTAAAATTTAGGGAAGTTTGCTTCCTGAACGTCTTGAGGAAGAAGACAAATAAGCGAATATTAAAAAAAATTCAGAACCTTGTTCTAAAATACTAGGGAGAATACACGCGGAGAAGGGCAGTCCAGAAATATATACATGAATCATACAAAAAAAAAGTGATGCCTGCTTTTACGAATTGCTGTGCAACCGATAGAAACAAAATTAATTTTTAAAGCATAGTGTATCTTTTATTTTGGACAACAACTGGGGAAACCGACTACTTCTAAGGACATCTTGGTTATACGAGGGCTATCCAGAAAGTAGATTACGTTTTGGAATAAAAAAATAAACAAAGTATAGGAAACAAATTTTATTATATACAGATGAAAGCCACACTCAAATACTACTTTTCTACATAGTCACCATACAAATTAAGGCATTTATCGTAGCGATGTACGAGCTTGGAAATTCCTTCGTCGAAAAATTCGGCCGCCTGCGCCTTCAACCACTTCGTTACCTCTTCTTGCTTTTCGCTGATGATTTCGTGCAACAAACTTCGCGAAATTTGTGGAAAACTCAAAGAAAGTTCCGTTATTGTGAAATTTCGATTTTCACGGACTTTAGCATCGACTTTTTCGAGAAGTTCGGCGGTCACTATGCTGGGTCTCCCACTTCGATCTTCGTCGTGAACATTGGTTCGGCCATTTTGAAATCTTATGACCCACTGACGCACTCCACCTTCAGTGATAATGTTGTCCCCATACACTTCACGAAGCTGCCGATAGATTTCTATCGGTTTACAGTTTTTTGCAGTCAGAAACCTTATTACTGAGCGCACCTCGCGGGATTTTCAATTAACGCAGACATTTCAAACCGTCACAGTATCTGAACGGAGCACAGCACGAACCTCTCACTAGCACGGCTAGATGCAGACTGAGCTGCGCAACGCTCTGACCCCAAGATGGCCGCGCTAGCCCCGCCCCTAGCGGACACAGACGGAAACGTAATCTACTTCCTGGATGGCCCTCGTATATATGTGCGTTACATTTAACGCGCACAGTAATAGATACTATTGTAAACAGAGATTTCATTTCAAAATAAAATAGATTGTATATAAAGAAATTCCGTTATTAAAATTCTGTTTCAAAATAAAATGTATTTTTTATAGAGAAACTCCGTTATTAATTTTTTTTTTCAAAATAAAATGGACTTTTTATGCAGAAACTCTGCTTTTTGTCCCAACAGGAATTCCCTGCTAATACAGATAATGAATCTCCTGTGACAAGTCTATTTCCAGAAACATTCGAAGCTCAGTACGTCAGAATCATACCAACGGATTGGAAGAACTGGATCAGTCTTAGAGCTGAAATACTCGGATGTTATCATCCTTACGGTAAGTAGATGTGATGGATATCTTGTTTCCTGATGTTAGTACATATGGCAGTTGTAAATTTATCCTTTTTTCTCTCTTTCTTTAGACAATTTTATTATTATCAGAACTTCGTGTGATGACTAAAATAATTCCGTAATAATAAATTGTAGTTTTTGGTGCCGTTTCTTCCATATAAAGGGAGGGAATCTATTTATCACTCAAGAAGCGTAATTAAAACTGTGGTGTAAAGCATTTAAAATACAAACTTTGCATAAGTAATGGGAATTACATAAGACATGTAGTATGAATATGATGCCGTTATGCTTAACTTCTGTAAAACCTGCTATGAGGATATCGATAAAATTAAGTTGAGATATTATTATATTGTTATACGTGTTGTAATTTATGTTCCAAAATAATACTTCAACAAAAGAATATGCCTAAAATATCACATGCTTATGACCTTAAGCAACGTAAAAAATAATTAATTAAAAAATATGTATAAATCAAATTAAATGCACAGCATCGATATTTTTATGTTATTTTTCTAAAATAGATCCAAATTGAAACCAAATTTACAACAAGCGTGTAATTTTCTAAAGTTGATAGAGTGTGAGTGTTTCCACTAAGCATTTTGATATTCAATATAAACCTCAAAATAAAGATTGAAGGCGTTACAGAATATAGAAACTTGTTATTTAGTAGAATTAAAACTTAATAATTAATTGTTTAATTTATTTATTTATCTAAAATTGATTTCCAGAAATTGCCTTTTCGCTTCCTACTAAAACACTTTATACAGTCTGTTCGTTCATGAAAGCTGCCTGTTAAGCAACTTAATTCACAATTAAGTCAAATTTTAATTGGTATCAAATTAAACTAATTCCGAAAGCTGAAGAAGACTGGTGTGCTACTCATCTGCAGGTCGATTCATTTCCATGTAACTAACATTAAAACTCAAAACATAATAATCTGTTGAAAATGCGACGTGATTATCTGAGTTGTTTATACTGGTTGTAAACTAACTTCTGTCGAAATTCATTAACTAATTCATCTGAACTAACTAATCCGTCTTATATTTCATTAAATCAGATAAGCTAATTTTTTTTAATAATTTGCACTTTCTTAAATAATAAGTCCGTATCTATTTATTTAGTTATTTTTAAAGGGGGGGTTATCGTGCAAAATTACACTTGTTCACTGGAATAAACTGCGTTCCGTCGTTACAGCTGACATCTAAAAAAAATAAGTTAAAATTTTCTTCCGTAAATTCAACATATGTTCTTGCTGATAAATAGTAATAGCTGAAAATTTGTATTTTCTGTAACCAAATATATTGAAAGTCTTAATCAAGTATAATGTAATAATTACCAAGTTTATAAAATTCAATTTATTTCAAAAAGCTAATACATTGATACTACCTAGTAAAAATTAGAATTGTGTGTATGAAAGCATGAAACACGATAGCACGTGTATCGATTTTATAAGTGATAAAAAATAGTAGCATGGATAGCAATTTTATCGGCTACAAAAATACGGGTATGGATAGCGATTTTATAAGTTACCAAAAAACATACACATTGCTTTAATTTCTAAAGCAATTTTATAAGTTGTACTTTGAAACAGTAAGTGTAAAAAATGTGCAGCGTCCTCGCTGGGACTCGAACATGGACCTCTCGAGTACGCGCCGAGTTTGCTACCGTTACACTACGAAAGCATGCTGGAAGAATGGAGAAAACACCTTATATACTGCTCCTTTTAAACGGCGATCGGAGATTACGGGACGGGTGACGAATTATTGTCCACCGCCTTTTTTAGTTCGGGCGCCACTTATCATTAGGTCATTAGGTTATTTTGAAGCAAGAGATGAGAAAATAGTACAATGCCATCTTTAGGACTCAAACCTGGACCTCTCGAAAACGCACCTAATGTACTATTGTTACACCACAAGGGCATGCTGGAAGAAGGGAGAAAATATCTTATAAAGTGATAAAAAAAAACGAACATGGGTAGCGATTTTTAATTAGCCAAAAAAATTGTTTCAAATTGCTTATGACTATAATTTTTAAAAAGTAATTTAAAATGCAAGTTATTAAAAAACTAATTTTATATTTAATTATACTACTTGCTACCCAAATATTGAATAATTTATTAACTCACTTTTATGACCGTACAAACCGGCGCAGTTGCATTACTTTGCTTAAATAATTATATTTACAGTATAATTTTAAAAAATAAATATAATATGCACCTTCTTCACAACAGTTGTTTTTAATAATCATTATAAATTAATTTCCCCCGAGCAGCTTTCGAGTCATTTTTATAAAAGTCACAGAACTTTTGTTAATTAAATATGTCTGTTGATTTTTAATATTTTCAACAGAATCATTAATAACAAGCTAAATAGCTAAATAAAATTTATCAGCAAATTCCTCAATTAATCGCATGGTAAACTTCAAAATTTTCATTAAGTTTCTCATTCGGATGGCATCATTTATTTTTTGATAAAAGATCTGTAACACATCCGACAATTTTAAGTTTTAACATAAGAAATTTTACTTTTTTCATGTGACGCATTAATTTTATTTGGTAATTTTAATTTGAAGGCTCTTTTGGAGAAGTGAATATTTTGTGCTTTGGTTTATAATAGTAAACTTATTCCTCTCAATTGAAAATTTAAATTCTTAAACGTAATAAATATGATTGGAGGTGTTAGAGCAGCAAAAATCAGCTAAATAATCATCAGTTTGCAGGACTAGTTTCCGAGGTTTAATTATCGAGCCTTCTTCTTTAGCCACAGATAAATATTATATATAAATACCTTAAGGATAACATTAAAATAAGGATATGAACAAAGGTTTTGAAAAAATTATTTATTATTTATTATTTTTTGTAGTATTATTATTTTAATTTTACGAATATAAGCAAGTTTTCAGAAACAAAATTACAGATTTCATTTGCACAAAAGTTCAGTTTTAATTTTCGTGTTGGCTGCGCTTGATGCAATATTTTTAACATTTGACATAATATTTCTTAATTTAAATTTCAAATCAACTCGTTCAAAACTATTCAAGCAGTTGTTTTGTCTCCTATTCTAATTTTGTTTCATTCGTATTTTTGCGTTTTTTGAGTTTTACATTTTTATATTGAATTTGTTGCATAAAAATCAATACATTTTTTAAAAAATCGTTGATTTTTAAAAGATGTTTAAATAATTTTAGTGTATTTTATTCCTTATATTTGTTTTTATCATTTCTTCCTTTCTGCATGTTAGAGTTTCATATCAATAAACAATTTATTATCAATTTTATTAATATTTTTTTCTAATCGGTGGTAGCTTGATTATGCCGATCAGTTATCTTATATATTCAGCTGTTAGCAATCGACTCCTTAATCATCAGTGACTCCCTTTAAAATTTCAGTGACCTCTCAGGTGGCCAATAGCTACCCGTTGGGAACTTCCGATTAGATAATTCTAACGTACTTCAATATTTTACATTCATAAAAAATAATTCTATTGGAATTCCCATTCTGACTACATTTAATATGAAATTCCGCATATGAATGTATTTGGTGTGTATAAATATTACGAACTGTGTCCATTTTAAAGATACACATTATGAGCGAATAATTTATGCCGCAGATTACATTAAATGGCTGGCATCTTTATCGATAAAGCATGAAGCAGTACAGCATATACAGGTAATATGTTCGAGCAACTCATGCGTTTAAAAGTTTAAAATGGCAAGCCTATGTCTCCGTTGGTTTCGAAAATTTCGGTTTGGAGGACACATTCTGTCTAAGTAAATCACTTTTGTATCCATTACTAGTTTTCGAAATGTTCTAGTTCAAATCATTAATCTAATCTGCATTCAACTACCTACAAACTAGCTGGCACACAGAACAAATAGAACGAGCCCCCGAATCAAGCGCAAGCCAAACAAGGAAGTTATCTCCTCTTCCATTTGTCCCAACTAACGACGCGTGAGGCTAAGAGACACTTTCCCTAGAAACGAGCTGCTCCTTCTCCTGCTAGTCGGTTTCCTAGCTTAGAAGTTAGCAACATTTTTTGGCTGAAGGTCAAAATCAACCAAAATGTGTGATTTAAGATGTTTCAGGTCAGTGGCATTTGCATTTTAAAATTGTCTCTTTTGGTGAATTAATTTTATTGAACTAATACTTAAATCATTAATAACTTTATTGAGCTAATACTTAAAATACCCTTTAGACTTCAAATATAAAAATTATAATTATAATTATGATAAAAATAAGTATAACTGAATTCTTGTAAACTATTTTTGGAATTTTGGTAAACTATTCTTCAGAAGTAAACTATTTTTGGAACGAACTGCTACAGGTGATTAGAAATGTATACTGTATTCAGACATCGAATGAGTGTGATTCAAACTGCAGATCCTATTCCATCGTCTTCAAATGGACGACTGCATCCTAAAAAATTTTGTAAAGTGTATGGTGGAATGTCAAACGAATAATCTATTGAGATATGAGTAAACAATACATTCTTTCTTCTACCAGCAGCAGTTGGACACAATGACAAAGAAACTGCATCAATGCTGCCAACCAATTGCCAAGGTTTATCCTTCATTATAATAACGCATGATCTCATGCTGTTTTAATCGCTTTGCAACAATTATTTAATTTTGGTTGGAAATGTGTCTGTTCTCGCCCTTACAAATATCATCTTATTCAATAAATATAGAGTACTTTCGTTCTTCAAGCATTCGATGATGTAAAACCAAAATTATAAAACTTCTTTTGTTTTAAAATTAGAGCAGTTTTATTTATATAAGATACACCTGCTGCCAAGTAGATGGCACTAAATCACACACAATGTTTGTAATTATGTTAAATTATAGCTAGTTATTTTCCTCTTCGTGTTCTCTGCTTTTCTTTTTAGGCTAATAAATTGGATAGAGCTTTTGCACTGACTTAATATAATTTACAAACTAACGCATATTTGTAACTAACTTAATATTTGTTACTATTTTCTAATATTAGAACCATATATTGAAGTGACTGTACCTCCGGAAGAAGTTTTGTCTTTAACAGCTCTACCAACAGAACCTATAATGGGTAAATACCTTTTATTTTCTTGATGCTCATACTTAATATAAGTATTTTGTTATGATTTTTTGCAGCTTATAAAATATTTTTAAATTTTACTCCTGTATTTTGTGCTACAGGAAAATATTATTTTTGTTCCACACATGATCCATACTAGGCTGTGGTTAACACATATTCTCATGTCTTGCAAAATTTTTTATCCTGATTCCTAAAACAAGAATGACAAAAATTGTGAAACTTTTAACATATAGTGTAAAATTACAATTAACAAAAACAAATTATAGAATTAATGGAATGCATATATACCATGTCCAAAAAGATCTTTTCGCGGCCTTTCTTTTCTCAGTCATTGGTTATAGAAATATACTTCCAGTTACAAAAAGAGATTTAAATGACGCAATACTTTCGTATTTTTAAATTAAAAAAAATAATTTGGTGTAAAATACGAAGTTAAACTTTCTTGCACTTTCCTTCGGTCCCTATACCTATATCTAGGAAAATGTTTTATTTATTAATAGAAACAAGGTACGATACATTTCACTCCCGTATGAAAAAATTTAAGAAGATAACTAATTTCAAAATTTGCGATTTTTGACGTCATTGTCAGTTTGCCTTTAAGGATCGGTTAATAAATAAATTACAAAAATTCGAAGTATAATTTCTTTTCCTTAAATGCCTTTAAGCAATAAAATTTGTGATTTGCTACTGTATAATATTCTTAGTATTCTGTTATAATTATTATGACAAAGAATTTTCACATAAGCAGCTTATAAGCTTTGAAACTCTGAGTTAAAATAACACGCCTAAAAAACATTATTAAGATTTAAAGCAACGAGAGCCAGCGTAATATTCATAAATGTGTAGGACTATTTCCAAAGCCTAAATATAGAGCCTCTTCAGCTGTATACGTGCAAGTGGCGTTTTGCAAGTGCAGTCTTTCAGTTCAAGTTAACTAGAACTGAAGGTTTTTATAAATATGAAGCGTTTCTAAAAAATATCATTCGTTTACGGAAAATGTTTTTTGAATAATTTTGGCTACAAAAAAAAAAATCTCATTTTCCATTTTCCAGAAGTCTCAAATCGTATGGAGAAATTAAATGCTGTGCGGTGAATACGACACGAGTTACGATAGCGAATGGGGGGTGGGGGGCAATGGAATTGAAATGTCTATTTTCATGTAACAGGATACAGTCGCAGCTGTTTCATTTTTATGAAATCTACGAACAACATATCCACTACGCTAGTCGGTCTGTGGGAAAATGAAGTTGAATGAAATTATGGATTAATCAATATGCATAAAAGTTGAAATGACGTGAAGTTGCAAATAAATGAAAAATTCATGGCATAAGATCTGGATTAAATTCGAGAATAACTGGAGTAAAACTGAAATGAAATTGAGCCTCAGAGATTAAAACGTTCTATCAGAAATTGCAGAAATGCGTGATTAATTAACACCCTCTGAAGTTTTCTGTGATATGAGTACTGTTCCATCTTCATTAAAGAGAGCTTGAATATCACTCAATTGTTGAATTTTTTTCGGTCTCGCTAAAGGAGTTTTGAAGTTTCTCAACGACTTCGGCAGGCTGAGTAGAACCGACAAGATTATTATTAAAGAATGTTCTGTCCTTGATTTGCTGAGGCTTTTGTTGAGAATGGAATGTTATTTATTTCGCAACCTCTCTATGATAATGTGAGTTTTTCTAAATAATTCTCTGATTTCGGTTCAAGATCTTTAGTTAAGTTTCTTATAAAAGAGGCTATCACGAGACTTACGGTTCCCAACACACTTGCAGCACTCAAATGAGTGATAACATTCTATTTGAAGACGGTGAAACTGCTGTCAACTGAAGCATACCTTTTGAACACGCTCTCCTTGCTACCTTTCGAATTTAATTGGACATTTTAATCTTTCGACTTTAATTCGGACCAGTTTCAATCAGAAGTGATTTTTAAAATAAAGCTGTCTGTGGCCAAGCAAAGCAGCGTATGCATTGGTTCGTATAGTCACGTGATACCCGAAAGTAATGTGGAAATCGATCTAAATTTGAGGGTGGATCAGGTTCTAAGGTTTCCTGCCATCCTATAACAGACACCCCTAAACTCCTTTCCTATTACCTACCGCGTTAGACTGAATTACGTTTCGATCCAGCCAAGACACACTTAAAAAGATATATGATAGTATAGAGTGTAAAAGGAGACCATTCGAATCGTATTCAAAAGTAAATAGGCATCGTCAAGTCCTAATTGTGATGTTATTAATTTTGATAAGCTGACTTTAGTAATACCCTAATATTGTCTTCAAAAGTGATGATTTCGAATTTCGGTCCGGCCAAAACACATTTAAAAAACTATAGCATATCTGAAATATTACGGTAGAATGTGTGTGTTTTAATCGTTAATGTTGTGATCCGTTACATCGAATCCTAACAGAATTGGACCCAATTTTGATTCATTTAAATTTTTGTATACCATGACATTGCCAAATTATAAATGACTCTAATTACATCATTATCTTATGCTTACAGCTGTTGCATGTCCTAATCCTATGGAGGCTGAAAATACACTTTTGGTGGGAGCAAGAATTCAAGCGAGTTCATTTGCTCCTAACAGTTCTCCTTCACGCATTCCACTCAATACTGTCGGCGAGAATGGATTAAGCGGTGGATGGGTGCCAGAAGTAGAAGATCTACATCCTGTTTTAATGATAGAGCTTCCAGAACCTAAATTGCTCACTTCTATAAATATGCAAGGTAACCACAATGTCACATTAAAGAAAGGATTTCTGTTTTATTCCTTGCTTTATCTGTATTATCGGTTAATTTAAATCCAAAACCCATAGGAATGTTTTGTAAAATATGCAGTCACATCATAAATTAATAAATATTTTCATTCTGAGGTTCAGGTTCCTGACCTATTCAAGCTCGTGATAATCTTTCACTCGTGCCATTCTTATAAGATGATATCGTTACGTGCGTACCGGTTCGTAATGGATTGAATGCACACAGAACCGATGATAATTTAACAAAATTTATTTTCCCAAAAAAAGTACTTCATAGTTCTGAAACTTTTCACAAAAGTACCCGCACATCTCTTCTCTGTAGGATAGAGCAAAATCAGTAGTTGCCACTTCAAACGTTAACCACAAAGCGACGCGAAGAGCGTCCAAAGAGCCAAACTGGCACGGAGATCTCTGTGAATACATTAAAAGTCAGCTGTCAACTGAGAAACTGAGAACTTGTGTTATCTTCTTTCTTACATAGTTTTTCCCCGTGAACTGAGTAATTTCCAGTACCTTCCATTTCTGGAAATTGCTGGAAGGCATATACGGCTACAATTCGGGACCAGAGTGTCGCCAAATTTGGCTACTTTCGTCATTTGAGGAGAAAATTTAGTCACAAAACCATCGCCGCCTTCGTGATATCTCGCCAATTTAACAAAAATGCCATTTACCGCAATGTTAAAGAGGCTTGGCTCTGTAATCTTATTTTTTCGGTAAAGTTTCGCATTTCTTCAAATTTCTTAAGTTACATTATGCAAAATTGGTAGCAGTATTAAAATGTTGTCTTTTCACGTACTTCGCTAGGCCTGTTAGATCTTTCGGATTTCTAATTAACCGTCATTGCATCCTGACGACTCCAATATATTGCCATTACGACTTAGTGACTTGTTATTTTCAGAAACGTTTCAGTTATACTATATCATTCCATTTCTGAAAGGCTAATTTGGTAATGACCTTCAGTCGAGTGTAATTCTATCCCGCTGTCTTAACTAAAATCGTTTTCATTTCATCATTTTGATCAAGTCGTCATTCTTCTGTCCACCTAAAATTCATGCTTTCCGTCTGTTATGTTCCTAAATCTTTTTCTCCTCTCATGAAATATGTTCAAAGGTTGTTGATCGTTTCTTTCTCTGTGCCAAGGTTTAATATTAGAGAAGCGTTAAATTAGCAGTTATACTGCTTCATAAATAACCCATGGAGCTGCTGAAACTTTCACTATTGCAACTCCCCTGCACTGATCTCGTTTAATTCTGGCTCATGATTGGAATGTTTTTTCCGAGAATAATCTAATCACAAGACTGAATTGCGTAAAATTCAACGTAATTAACTTACCTCTGCATGTTTCTAGTAGAAGATAACAAGAACACTGAGCTCCTGAACTAAATGCAAAATAAATGAAGTTATTTTTAAATCTATTCTGCTGTGGGGTTAATTTAAATAAATGCATTGCATTTGTGTCATTCAGTACGTCGGAGCTTTACTGACAGATTTTAACATTCGAACCAATTTTTAAAATTGTTTCTTCTAAATATATATTTTGCAACTTTATTGTTAATATTTAATTTGCTTTACTTTGATTTAATTTTTTTTATTTGAGGCAAGAGCTTTAATGAAAACTTTCATTAACCTGACAGTTTGAAATTCATATTTGACATATTTATTAAATTTTTATTCCTATTAAATTACGTTATAATTATAACGCAATTTAATAGGATATATCTATATATCCTATGCAGTTTACTAAAAGTGTGTCGTTGTAGTTCAGTGAAATTTCACCATTGTAAATCATTAAATGATCTTCTAACATATGATACCTGTAAAACAACGTAAGTTAAAATATAAGAACTAAAAAAAAGATGACGCGATTACCACATAAAATATGATGAAACTTCAGAATTCAGTTTTAAGTAATTTATTTTAATTAAGATTTTCCCTGAGTCTCCTTGACTACATTTGCAGAGATGCAACATCCCAGTTTTCGAATTTATTTAGGTAATGTCATATTTTGTTTCGAAGATACCTGATTGTAGATCATTAAGCCATCTTTCTGGAATTTACGGATAATCTAGGTTTTGTGTCTCTGAACGTGAGCTATGCTGTCTGAAAATTTTGAAGCTAATGTCTCTGAACTATTGAGTGGCTTAGATTTAATTATGATATAGATTTTTTGGTCTGATTTGCAGAACATTTTAGTTCATAAGCAGCTATCTACCAGTATTCATCTGTTAAATCATATCTTTCCGTTGATAATAAATTTCATTACATATGTCTCACAAATGAAACACAAAATAAGAAAGAGATTTCAAAATACCACCTTGTACGATAAAAGTTTGATAATATCAATAAATGGGTAAATTCTATTCTCCTTATCTGATTGTTTGCCAGTAGCTACAATTGGGATAATTGGGTTGTAGAAAACAGCTTCAGATGTAACGACTATGCGTAACATTTCAGATGATACGCATAACTCTGCAAATCTCAAATTTTTTTAAAAGCTGTTGGAGCTTTTTATTTGGTATTTAAGTACAACAATGTGCTAGCGTAATTTATTTGGATTATTTGGGAACTTTGTTTCATAATTATGACAGGCGAATAATTGCGCAGGAAAAGCAATTCTGGGTTAATAGACAAAGACTTGCTTCTTTATATGTACAATAAATCATTCTGAATATCTGCTCTGAAATTAGACGCTGAATACAACATATGTTTCAAATGTAAGGGGACATTTAACTTAATTCTTATTCAAATTCTGAGAATCAATGTGTTACATAAAAATTGATTTCTCTATCTTAATTAATTACATTACAAGAAAGTTGATGAAAGAAAAAGAAAATCTTCAATAGAAAGTTAAGTCTTAAGACAGCGATATACTGTTTATCTGTATAATAAATAACGAATAAAATTCAGCTTGTCTCTTTTAATTAATAGGAATTACAAAGATCAATGTTTGTCAAAATACAGAAAACTTATTCCATATCTTTAAATAATTATTATCTTTCTAACAAATAACTGGAAGATTCCAGCTTTTGTGTTCCAATTAACAGAAGTGATCGTGATGGATGCTTTTCAATGCATATAACAGTGATTTGTTATCTTTAAATTCAAATAACTTCTGCTTCAAATTTCTTTACTCTTGATGAAGAGGGACCTGTACCTGTTTGCCCTCGAAATTAATTAGAGTCCTCGACTAAATCTACACCAAACAAGTTTGTAATTTTGTGAACTCTGCTTCATTTGTTTGTTTTTAAACTAGCATAGTATTATTACTTTTCTCATTCTTCTTTATCTCTAATAAATAAAATGGTTTACAAAATGTAAAAAAATTCTGAAATTAAAACGTCCAAGGTATGGTGTTATTGGCTGCAGATAATGATTCTCGGGATGAAGTACATGTGAGCTGTGACTATAATTTAAGAAACATATTGTACAACTTTTATAATATTTGATAGCAGTACTGTTTTTTCTCTGAAATTCTGAATTTAACGTTGCTCGACTGCAATGAACTTGATAGAAATATTTCTGAAATAATGAAAAGGTATGCTCACGTGTTGAGTCTTTTATTCAGCGTTCACCTTTCGGAGAATATTGATAAGCATAATTATGACATTTTTTAAACAAACTGAATCTTCAAACAAACCTTAAAAATGTCACTGTTGCAATTTATTCTGCAGTACAGAGTTAAAATTCTTTCAATACAAAATGGCCGTTTCTTCAGGAGAAACGCCTTTGGTGTTGATGTTTGATTTTCCATTTTTATATAAATAGTTGCAAAAGTAGCCTACCCTTGAGCATTTTATTTTCAGGAAATTCTTGAAATAATCAGTGGACACTGCTTAATGTTATCGCTCTATCATTCTGATATTGCTAAAGATCTGTCGAAGTCTCTACTGTTTGTATAAGGAAACATGAAAAATAACTTCGCAGAGAACCGAACCACGGAACCCTGGAATACGCGCCCAGCGTGCAGACCACCACACCACGAAGGCATGCCAAGAAGGCGGGAGAAATACCTTATATACTCCCTCTTTTAAGGGGCGATTGGGATTTTTAGGGAATCCAGTCGCCAAATCCTGGGTGGGGAAAATCATCATCCACCACTCTTTTAGTTCGGGCGCCACTTGTAGCGTCATTAGGTAATTTGGAAGCAGGAAAGACGAAAAATTTGCAACGCCTTCACCAGGAATCGAACCACGGATCTCTGGAGCTAAGCGTGCAGACCACCACATCGCGAAGGCATGCCAAGAAGGCGGAAGAAATATCTTATAAGTTCGCCAAATAAGGTCAAAACATACTGTAAAAATTTTCAAAAAAGAATTGTAGAAGGACAGAGAAACGTAGCTGCACAGCTTGGTTTCGATTTCAGTTAACTATCTAAAACTAAACCAAAAAAACGACGTTAGGCTAATGTAGATTTTGAATAACTCCATCAATTTGATGGCGATCGGACACAAGTCTGCTTTTTTTTCTTTAGATGTAAAAGAAAATATGCAGAATTTTTTTCTTTGAAAATACAAATTCTTTGAAAGCATCTACGACAAATTAAGGTTACTTTTTTCGCTTAATTTCAAATTTTACAAATATGTTCTCTTACGGTAAAGGATGCTTTCTGAATATTAAGATTAGGGTACAGAATCGGGCAAATAATTTATATAAACTTTATGAACAGTTCATAAATGAGCTTTTGCATTTAATTATTAAGATGCTGTTAAAATACCTGCTTATATACTTCTTCATATCTTCTTGAAAGATATTTTTCCTACCATTGAATGTTATCATTCGGTTAATGTTATCAAAATAGCCGTGGTTAGTTATGGAAACAATAAGCGGCGCCTACTGTAATATAATCACTATGAATTCGGTCTAGTTTAGAATACATTTTTACTTTCCATTTTATTAGCTATTTATATTAACTGTTTTTATTCTGTTGATTTTCTCTGTGAACCAGATAACAAAGCTAATGCAAAATGCTTGAGTTTTAACTAAACCTGATTTTCTATTTGATATTGTTAGCTTTTTAATCCGGAAACCTTTAAAATTCATATTTTTAAATTTCTGTTATAAAAACTTAATAAAGCATAGAATGCGGCAGACATTTATTTTTCAGAATTCAGAATGATAGTGACAGAACTTTGCCGTAATCATTCTTTCAAAAAACGTTCTTAAATATTTTTAAACCAAACAGGTTATTAAATTTAGTTTTCTTTCGTAAAATTTATCTTTTTCTTTCTCTTGATACTTTATTATTTAGTTATAATTTTAACCTTTTAATTAGCTATAAAAAGTGATAAGCTAAGCCTAATAAGTTTCTTTTAAGCAAACAACTTCAGACTAGAAGTTAGGTTTTTTTCAAGCATGCTCGATGGATTGAATTTTTAATTTTCCAGTTACACGATTTCTAGAGAAACTTCTAACGGTCTTCCACTTGAGAATTCCAGGAATATGTGTTTTATTTCTAAATGGTATTTAATTCAGTTTGAAAGAATAATTTTAAGGAATTAGTTATCCAGAAATATATAATTTACCGTGAAAGAGAATTTTTAAAAAAAAAGATAAATTTTTAAAAGATACCGTATGAATAAATAGAGTTTATTTCTAAACCTAATTCAAGGTAAAAATAGATGTATTAAAAAATGTGTGTTTACTAAATTAACGTTTTAAACTGTATTAATAGGAATGGTTAGAGAATTAATGCTTGAATGATTTGGTCACAATGGGAAATTACAGTGATCATTTATCGCTTTCTCTCGAAGAAATCCGTTTGTGCATTCAAAAAGAAGGAGAAAAAAACACGCGAAATCTTCTATGAACGTGAAGAAAAAAGCATTCTAAATTAGAGTTTTTGTTCTTCGCATGGCATCATAATTGCTTTAAGTGTTTTTTCATAATACAAAGAATCCTCCCTTGGTGACTACTTTTTTATGACCGAGCATCGTCGAAAACGATCGGTATTTCTGATAAATAAACAAATAATGGTGCTGAAGAACGCTTTTCTTAAGCAATCACTTCTGAAAAAAAGAACGCATTTGCTATCCTGAGCGATCGCCTTAAAGACGATTCATAATATTGTATTTTGCTAATTTATATACAAGGTGTGGCTATTAATTTCCAGGACTGCTCTAATAACACCAGAAATGATGATGTGAAAAACGTAAACTTTTATTTAATATGTTTCGAAGTAATCCCCATCTGCCGTAATACACTTCTGTGCTCGGCTGTATAAGTTCTGGAAGCAACTTTTTAAGTCCTCTTTCGGAAGACTCTTCAGTGTCGATGTCACATTCTTCTTGATGTCTTCAACATCCACAAAGACATCCTTTGATCACAGTTTTGAGTTTGGGAATGTTCGATCGTACTCTCCTGACTTGGTCACCGCAGACTTCGTTTTGTTTCCCAAACTCAAAACTGTGATCAAAGGAACACGCTTTGTGAATGTTGAAGACATCAAGAAGAACGTGACGTCGACATTGAAGAGCCTTCCGAAAGAAAACGTTAAAAGCTGTTTCCACAACTTATACAGCCGAGCACAAAAGTGTGTTACGACCGATGGGGATTACTTCGAAACATATTAAAAGGTTAAGTTTTTCACATCATCTGTTCTGGTGTTTATTACAGCAGTCCTGAAAATTAATAGCCACACCTTGTAGTTACATTGCGTATTCATATTATATTATTGTAGAAGTTATTACTGAACACTCTCCTATTAAACTATATATAGTCACCTCTCAGCGCAGATTCTCCTCTGTATGAGCGAAAGACGCCGATAACCTATGACTGTATACATTAACAAGAAACAGTTGTAGTATCAAATTTAAACTTTATCTTAAATTTAGACGTTTTAATATCTTTTATCTTGTTATTTAATTACATTTTTCTTTGATTTAAGGAAGAGAAGATGAAGAAAATTGGGTGAAAAGCCTGAGAGTAATAGCAAGTATAAATAACAGTACATGGCTACCGGTTTTTGGTTCTGATGGAGATGAGGTATGTTTCTGAAATTATTCTAATTAATTCGTCTAATGCAATTATGTTTATGTGCATATAAACGCTTATTTGGATTTTCCAAACAGAAAGTTTTAGGAACACTGTAGTTTCTTTTAAATTTTTACAAATTTGTTCAGTTTATGTTGCAGTGCAAGTAAAAGTTAGCAATGCATAGTATTTTGTAAAAATAATTTTTTGAAAACATTTATTTTCTGCTAATAGAATGAGTAACAGAAAGGTTTTGAAAATTTTCCTTTATAGTTCTCCTGACCCTAATTCATGTGTAAGTAAATATCGCAATTTCACTTGACAATTTCACTTCCTGACCCTAATTCATAATTACCATTTACCCCATTTACGATCTGACTCCTTTTCCTCTCCTATTTTCGCCTTCGGCTCTTCTTCTTAGGACTCTATATGCCTCACCAATGATCGAGTATACCGCCGAATACTGGAAGCTGGACAAATTTTCGAACCCATGCGAACAGGCTGGCTTTGTGGATGTTTTCTATGATTTTCCCTATGTGCATCTTTCCTCTTAGGCAGATAGCCCTCGCTTACTTTACCATTTTCAAATAATCTAAACGCTAGATTTTAAGGAACATTGCTGTTGATTCTTCTTTTCTGTCCCAAGCACCCTGTTGATGTAAAGAATTTTTCTAATTTACAAATTATATCTTTATTTTTTGTTGTAGTATCGTATTCATGAAAAAGACAGCGCAGGAAATTGTGTGTTCATTTAATGTTCTAGGGTAGGTGTTCCCAAACATTTTCAGTTGAATTTCACTTACAGGTTTAATATTTTGTCATGGTGCCTAGTCGTCTTCAATGTCGTGTTGTACAAGGTTTGTGCTTTACAACCTGCTTACTACATAATGTCATAGCAAATCACAACACTTCATTAAATACCACTGTATATTGATCAGGCACAGAAATGAAAACAACCATAATCTGTGGCTCATATAGGTATATATTGAACTGATATTCTCCACAAGAATATTATATTATTTTTATTAAAGAAAAATAGAAAAAAATCGATGGGATGGTGAGCTTGCTGATCTTCGCAAAGTGTTTCGAAACGAGGGATAAGACTTGACACTGCCACTCTCATTTTTTGCTCCACGTTGATCTTTAAACGATATTTGTTCATTACAGCTACAGCTGAAAATCCAGTTTCACATAAGTATGATGTTGCAAAAGGAATGAGAATCCTTAAAGCTTTTGAACTTAGAGTTGGATATTCATTTTTTATGATTATCCAAAACCCCACCAAATCAGAACAAGCGAATTTTGTTTCAAGGTTGTTGTCGCAAGAGAGTTCAATGAGACTTTCTTCATCTTGTGAAGTGAATTCTGGTGGAGCTTGAGCGTGGAAAGGATTTTGGATCCACGGATATTTCTCGATATTTTCTTCCGTAAAGTATTTTGCAAACCATTCAGTGAGCTTCGAAAGGTGTTCCTTGAACAGTCCGAAAGAGACAGCAATTTTTAAGAGACAACCATAAAAGTGTAAACAGGAGCGCCTCGCCGTGCCCCTGTTTACTCTTCACGGCATCCCAGGGCGCCACGCCTACTTTGGGAACCCCTGTTCTAGGTGATATTTGTAGGAGACGTTAATGATTATTAATGAATTTCTCACGAAATTTTTAAAAAATGTGTTTTGAAAAATATTTTAAATTATGATAGATTGTTATTTATTCTTGTGCGTGCTGTACAATTACTTTATAACTTCAATACTTTTCTAACAAATGTTGTCTGTCAGTTGTTATACATGTGAAAAGAAGAAAATAACTTAAGGCTGATAAAGCATCACTTTTCATAAAATCTCTTCATTTTTTTGCTCCAATCCCTTAAAATATTTCTCAAGAACATTAAAATTAATGCATTCATTTAAAAAAAATGTCGTTAAAATTATTAGTAATGGTGATACAAAGGAATCTGCTCGTGGCATTTGAACTAGATGACTTTCTGTTGAAGCATCAAAAATTACCATCACACTATCTAAGACACTATCAATTGAAAGTACTTTATGTAATTTAAATATTACTTAAACATTTAACTTCGAATTTCTTGCTAATTTCTGGAGAGGTGGGCTCTTGGCGTTTGCATCTAAAGTAATTTTAAGTTTTTTGCAATTATGCAGAATTTCAGAGAATTCAGTTAAGTTAAGAGCTTTTCGTTTAAGCTCTTCCATTGTTTTGTTTTAGACGGTGTAAAAATATTCTATAAAAAGTCAGTGTAAGATAACATATAAATCCTTAAATAATTCAGCTCTTATTTCTAGTTAATAATTAATACTCAAGAATTATGAGCGTCCAGTAAACATTAAGAACAAATTAAAGATAGAAATACAATACAGTATGTAAGGACTTTTTATGTACCTTATTTTCTCCTCCCTTTTTTCGCACTGATTTTATCGTCCGAACAGCGAGAGGGGAAATTATGTTAATAATTTAATGTCGAGTTTACCTGTCAGATATCCCTTTCTTATCTGGAGCCAAATGTGTTCGATTAAGAGTGACATATGAAGGTAGAGTGAATACCCTACTAGTAGATTTCTGTGTTCATTTCAGTCAACGTTATTATGCCTTAGATGGATACCATTATGAACACCTGGATTTTCGCTAAGTTTTAATTCCGCGAACCTAGAACCTCATATCTAAATCACGATAATTCTACTTGTAATTATAATTGATATCCCAGAAATTTTCTCTTGAATATTAGTATTTGCTAGCAGATGTTATTGCGCTTAGTGCACACGAGGTTGCAACCGTATATCTCCAAGCAAACCTTCCTAAATTCTTACAACACACCGGATTGTAGTACTTATTATGACCAGCATTTTTTATCATAACGGTAACTATACTGTTTACCGAAGTTTCTAATATTAAATTTCTCATCACCTTAATTATCATAACATATTTTCCCCAGACGTAATTCGCAGTTAGTTTGTGTAAAATTGTAATTGGAATTTAAACACTAACTAAATTGTATTCGTATCTTAAATGAGCTGCAAAGCTAGTATTTTAAATAAAAGGAACTGTAAAGTCTAATATTGTTGTGCCTATCATTTGTCACCATAGCGCTTAATATACAGTTCCATTAATTACGTTCATTTATTATGGTTTCTCAGCATTACTAACTGCTTTTGCATTACTAACTTTCCACAAAAGATCGAGTTGAATTACTTTATTTTAACAAAGCATACTCTAAAGTTATGAGTTATTAACGTGATGCCTTTATCATGTTTTAAGAGAAGAAGTTCTATGAAAGATGTTCTAAGAGAAACAAGCCGTTATTTATTTACAAACGTATTTTTCCCTTTCATGTAATTTTCACATTGCCATTTTAACACTCATTCTGGTTTGGTTTGATTTAGTTCATTACGGCAAAGCACACGAGGATCTAGCACTATCTGCCAAAGGGAAAGGGATGCAAAGCACTATCTGCCTAAGGAAAGGCATGCCTTCGTGGAGGACATTTCAAGGGATACTTTCTCTAACACATGGCGAAAAATAAGAAAACGCCCAGCCCATTCGCCGGGATTTGAACCTTGGACCGAACTGCCATTGTTCAGTGACTCGCAAGGCTCTGGAAATGTTTAGGTATTCACGCAATTTTCAAGAAGCCGTTCAGGCTGTTCAGAAAGCAAGCTTGCCTAAATTTTAAAATCAATTCGTGCACTTAGTGGTTGTTTTCATCTTACTTAACTGATTTTCCCGTGAATTTTCCGCGCATGAGCTCAGACTGATGAAGCATTAATAATGAAAAGCTTCAAGAAAATGACGATATCGAATGCGCTTGATGGTTCTGACAAACTGAACAGGACAAAGAAAATAGTAACGACGGCTGCGACCTTCAAACTGTAGCAGACGACACAGACAGCATTTCCAGTAGTATTCAATATTTGAGGCCTAGGAAGTAACAATGAAAACAACTATAAGAGCGGGTGAGAGTCGGGACACAAGGAAACAGAATTGAAGATATTGTGTTAAAATATTGTATTATTAATATTATTATGTATTCGACTGGAATGTAAGTTTTCATTACAGTAGATAATATTATGATAATAAATGAAAGTTTATCTATGAATATTTTTCTTTGTTAAATTCTTATTATAAAGAACTTAAAATATACACATAATTTTCTCATGATCAAATTAGTAAAAAGAGAAGAAATTCACGAATAAATACGATATATATAAGCAAAACCATGGTTCAACCAGCTATTCAACCACAGCAAATAAAATCTCGGAATTATCAACCCTTTAATTATTGAATAACTAATCGATCTTTTGCCTTGAAGAATTAACAGTTCTTTTTCGTGTGTTTCGATTTAAATTTAGTTTGGCATTATTTGATGATTTTGCCCACGTGCAATGGGAATATGAGCCGCTTTTTACCACCATCTGTGGGCGAGTGGTTAAGACAGCTGAATGCTAGCAGTAGCTCGACCTGGGTTCGAACCTAAGTGAACGGGCTGGCCGCAGTGTTGGTTTTCGTGGTTTCTCCCATGTGTATGAATGAATGAAAGCTACTTTTCCTTAAAACGTCTTACACGAATACATCCCACATTAGACAATTAACACTTGTTTGCTTTGTTTTATTTAAATAACCTTACCTAAGAAGCCAGTTTTTTTTAGAATTTTTCCATGAAAGTATCAGTCCTGTTAGACATATAGCTCCAGTGTGCTTTCCCATAATGAAATAATAGTTTCTCATAATGAAATAACCTAACCTTTTGCATCATTCATTTTAATTTATTTTAGAACTGACAGCCTGCGGCATGTTGCAAAGACATAAAATTTAATAAGAAAATAAAATTTAATAAAAAAATAATTGTTGCACGAATTGATTGGTCGAAAGAAATTTACTTTCAAGAAAATGCTAATATCAAAATATATATTTATAAAATAGTGAATAGCCAGTAAATTTAGCATTCGCTCAAAAAATGTATTCCCGAAGCTACACAATTTTATACTTTTCATGAAATTTCAATGAATTTTCTGCTTTTATTATGCAATATAATCTAACAACAGCAGTCTTTCAAGAAAATATCTATTTCCATAACATTCGGTTCATTTATGAAATTTCAATGAATTTTCTGCTTTTATTATGCAATATAATCTAGAAACAACAACAATCTTTCAGAAAAATATCTATTCCCATAACATTCGGTTCATTCTTTCGTAATGAAAATAACCCAAAGCATTATTTTTGAAGATAACAAAAATTTGCGATCACGAAATCCTAATTGAATATGCATTAAACCGCGAAAAACAATAGCTCCTTTTACTGGATATTTGCTAATAGCTTCAAGGATATTTTTATCATTATTTTTGTTTATTTTGCCTTTTGTATTACTTATTTCAAATGTGATTTCGGGAGTATATTTGTTTGTCATCATGAGCAGAAATTAATTGAAAAGTTTGTGTTAGAGCATTCAACACAGCTATTAATAAAGAAAAGGTACTGGTCATTTGGTCTTATAACATTCAAAACAGAAAAAAGAGCTCTGTCTCTCTCCCGTCCCTCTGTCTGTTTCCTTTTCTCTATTGTAAATGTCTGTAACTGCCTGTATTAATTATCAAAAAGCGACATTTTAAAAGGGCGGATTTAGAGGCTTTTCCTTTATAATTGTAGGTAATTTTAGGCAATAATTCGCAGTTTTGAATCTAAACTTTTATGAGACTGTGTTACTAATAAGAAAGCACTAAAAAAAGTAATTAAGTTCCCAATAAGTTTGAATAGCAATGGAATTTCTATGTTCTATAATTGCTTTTCAGCAACGGACGGATAATCTAACATATCCGTTGCTAGACAGTCATTTAACATGCATTCAGTAATATGCATATAAACATTTCGTATACAAAGCAACAACTGAAGTTCATGATGTTCATATTTACTACATTGCTCCTTGTCCTGTTAACAATGGCATGGTTCTTATCCTTTGCTTTTAACTTTAGTCCACATTTTATGATACACGCAATATGTAATATTAATGTTATTATATTTACGTTAAATATCTTTCTTTTAACTATAGAAAATGTTTTATTGTCACCACGATTGTGAAACAACATCAGGTGGAAAAGGGTTATTCGTCGTTCTGACACCTCTATTTTATATATCTATGTTCTGATATAAATAATATCCATAAGAAAAGAGCTTTGAACCTCTATTATATACCTCTACAAAATTGGCGTGTTGCACATAAATTTGAAGGTATAATATTCGAGTATCTAGGATTCTATTTTAATCAAAAGGTAGAATTATTGTAATTATTTTCAATAACACCACTTCAGTTAGGGCGGTATTTGAGTTGAAGTAACTGAAGTTGCACTTAGACTACTACGGCAACGCTTCTCATAACAATTACATAATTCCTTACGGAGCATAAGAAGGAATGGTACATGAAATTTGCTCCATGAAATGTGCCCCTCGTAGGTGATCTTGCATGACGAAAAGAAGAGAAAAGGAGCTTTGCCTCTGTAGTCTTAAACCTACTGTATTTGTAATGGCAGTTTTATGTATGAAGTACATTGTTCATCATACAAAGAATATTTCTCTTAATGGAACATTTCCTCTCTAACATTGTAATCCACATATATGGCAAACAAATTACTGAATTAAGCGCACATTGTTTTTTGCCTTTTATGTTCTATTTAATAAAATTCCATGATATTTGTCATAAATTTCCAAGATTAAATTGTTTTTATGCAGTTTTTAAAAAGAATGTGGAAGGTTTTTTAAAAAAGACGGGGTTAGAATTTGTAGGGTTTCTTATACAAACTTTCTTATGTAAAGTTTACTGTATCGCATAAAACGTAAGTTTTTGCTTTGAAATCTCTTTAACTTTTAGAAGACTTTAACCTAAAGAAACTTCTAAATGTCGTTAAAGTTTAGGAGGTCATAACACAGATTAGCCTAGGAATGGAAACCAATAAAATTGTGGGTACATATTCATAAAATCATGGCAGTTCTTTTATTTTTAAACTATGACAAACTCAAATAGTTTTTCTTATTTGAAAATTTTTAATTTTCTTGTATTTGTATGCTGCAAAATATGCTTACTAAAAATTAAAGGAGTTTTTTTGCATTTATAAGCATTCCAGATATTTTGTGTTGATTTATTTCCAAATAAAAAATTTGTAGTTTCTTGCATAACATTCAGTTTTTTATTAGGTCATTGAAGGAAATGAAGACCAAAACAGTGTGGTTGGCCATTACTTCGAAAAGCCAATGGAAGTAAAATATATCAAGATCATTCCTGAAACTTGGCATCGATGGCCAAGTTTTAGGCTGGATCTTCGAGGGTGTCATGTTTACCCTGAAGGTTAGTTTCAGTTAAAAACTGTTTACTTTTATCTTTAAAGTCCTAAGTTTAAAGATATTCAGAGATGCAATAATGACATTAAAGAATTGATGACATGCGATTATTTCAGTTTTATCTTTTGGATATTCAGTTCAGATATTAAGTAGATCATTTAAATTCTGCACCAGTCAATAATCTCAAAATAAGTTTTAAAATTAAGGCTGTTATTATAGTGCTATTATTTCAGAATATTTTGAAAATACCGAAGTAAAAAAGCAAGGATAAAAATACTTGCAGTCTTTATCATTCAAATACCAGTTTAATATCCACCCAAAGTATTAGTAAAGTTTTCTTTTGACGTATGAAGCGTAAATTCTATCAAAACATCCGGACTGATTGTTTTAATAATCAAAAATATTTATACATCAGAAATATTTATATAGCACGTAATCTATGCTATGTAAATTTAGTAAGGAATTTAGTAACATTTTGAATTTTACTCACCGAATTTAACTCAGATGCAAATAAACCAGAAGAAATCATCCAAATATCTCGTTTTATTTATTTAAAAAACTTTTTATACGTTGTTGTCATTTCATTAATGGTATCTTTTATGCAGCTATTAGCGATAAGTGTATATCATATATAAAATTTAAAAGAAGAGGAATCTAAGACAATGCTATTTGCATATTATTAAAGATATTACATTTCGATGTTAGTTTTGATACAAACATTAGAGTTTAGTTTAGAAATTCTGTAGCTTAAATACATTACATAATGTGTTAGTAACCTTTTGATCAATTATAATGATAGCATGATGTTAATAACATGATTCATTTTCACAGAAATCAAGGTTATTTATGTAATTGACTACGAAACTAGAGTGTGGAAGCCAGAATAGGCATATTTATGGCCAAAGATTAAACAATAAAGTATAAAAGGCAGATAAAAACCGAAATTTTTATTTAAATTATTTAAAACTTACCGATTGTGAAATATAACGTAATGAAATATAAAAAATGTGACAAACAAATAATTAAATTATAGCAGTAAATAGGATATTTTTGAAAGGAAGTTATTTTTTTGTCTTTTTGGTGGGGACTGTTAGTAAAAGGAGTGATGACTTCTGCTGGAAAAGCGCCCAACAGCATCTATTCATGCCAAGAACAAGACTGCAGGTGTTAATTTGGGTCCTCATTCAAGGAGCAGCTACATTTACCACTTTAATCCCCTCGAGCACGCATGGAACATGCGTGCTCACTGGAGTAATCTCAACAGCAGTTTTACACTAAACAGTTCCTCTGGTTGTAACTACTAGTTAATAGTGTGAGCCCTGTAAATTTTCATTTTATCATGTATAAACATGCCTTGAAAGTTGTAAGAAATGAGCAATTCATCGATCAAAAAACTGTTCTCCGCACCATACTTCTGTCACAGTATCTCAAGAGGAAACGTGAAATTCAGTGCAGCCATCAAACCACTGCTCCGTATGCATTTCACGAATATCACTGGCGGGTTTCAGGCGTTTACAAGGCCATTAACTATTGGAGATAAATCTGTAGATTAAATCAGGATTCATTCTGTAAAAGAATAGTATTTCATTGCTATGTAGTCCAGTTGATGTCGTCTCGACATCAGTTTGAGCGAGCCGGTTAGCGCAAGGCTTTGAAAGGAACTAAAAACACTAGTTGTCTTGTATGCATCAGAATAGCTTCTAACAATCTGTAAATAGCTCGTGGAGGTCGGCTTCTTGTCGACACTTTAAGTTTCAAAGCAAGCTTATATGCAGTGACATAACTGTGATGTTATATCTTTACTGGAGAAACTGATCATCCTGATGTAAGCTAAGATGTTCACTCAATTATATTTTCGACACAGTTGCTTCATTTTTGTTCCGGTTTCGCAGGCGGCGAATTATGAAAGGGTTGAGTCTAACCCCAAATCACAGGCGACAACTGGAGCTCAGATCATTTCTGATGTCCCATTACCTCTCATCATCTGATGCCCCTCAGATGCTGTTCTCCGCTTATTTTTGCAAGGTTTCACAATTTCGATTTTTCTTCTGAAAACTGTACTACAGACAGACAGATTTAAATAGACCTTTTTATACTTAACGGAAGCTCTTGATAAAAATGTCAATGTATAAAATATTTTCTGTCATCTAGTTTCCACGTGCACGTACGTGTTATATAGGCATATTTAGTGGCAACAGGCTATTTCTAATGTCAATATATAAAATGTTTTTTGTCAACTAGTTTCCACATGCACGTACGTGTTATATAGGCACATTTAGTGGCAACAGGCTATTTCTATCACCGAATATGCTAGTTTTTCTTCTTGTTGCTCAAATTTTGTAAGTGCATTTAAAAGTGAAATCTGTTCATTACAATCATGCTGTTATCAAAATATTTCAAAATGTTACTAAATTACGTATCTGTCTCATTTTAAGGAGACTGTGAGCTTTAAAATAGCTAAAAATCAACCAAAATATTGAATTCGTTTTTTACTCTCATAATATTCCATATACGTAACTACATCGTATGCAAAAAAAATCGAGTTCAAATATTCTAATTTTTAAAGAATCTACAAGCATTTAAAATGTGTAAAATACATAAACTTTGCCCTTTAAAGTTTGGAGAAAAATCTAAAAATGTATTTCAACAGTTATTTACTGATGTAATAATTTATATATTTTCCCAAGAGAAGCGCTTATTTCTGAAAAAAAAGCTAAAAATGTCAGTATTGACAACTGTTAATGAATTTAAATTTGGTTGCGTGAATGTTATACGCCTAGAACAGGAAGAAGCAATCTCGTTTTCTGCACTCATTGCAGAAAAGCGTGATCAACTTCGCTTGAACCAAAGCAAAAAGAGAAGTTTACCAACTTGGAAAAAAAAACAGAAATAGTAAATAATATAGAAAGTATTAAAAGGCAATGTAAATGTAACAAATGAAGGTAAAACATAGGATGGGAGTGAATTTTAAAAGTTTCATTGGATATAATGCATAAAATTGTTTCTACCTCAAACTTCGAATCACGAACCAATTTGCGATATGTTTATTTTTCTTATATTAATATTATGAGATTAAAAATAGTTAAATGATACAAAAATGTTATCTAGTACCTATATATTCATATTTAAAGTTAATTTGTTGTTTTCCTTGGCCATGTATTAAAGGTAAGTTTGAAGAAAAACACTAAACTCGGTTTTCTCAAAACAAAATGTTTCGCAGTTCGTATGTCTTGAAAATGCTCCATGCGTCTCATTTTTAGTTAAAAATTGTGATATTTGGAAGAAAGTATCTTGTTATATGTTACAATAGATCTGTGTATGCGTTTTAGGATATGAGGTTATTACGAAGTTTAAACTTGTGATAATATTTAACAAAAGGTGATATTTTTCCGAAAACTGGGTTTAAGTTCACAAAAGTCCTTTTTAAAAAGTTCTGATCCATCATATTCAATAACGCATACACAGAAAATTTTGTGCGAGATACAGTTTTTTTATGGATAAATTGAAATAAAAATATTTTTATCTTTTATTTAGTGATTTTAAATAATATGCAGATTTTAAAAGTTTTCATCATCCGTCCCCATATTCTGGTTAGTTTATGAAGAATTGTTCTTTCTATTGAAAGAGCTATATTTAAGTATCCTCAAATTTAGGGCCAATCCATTGTTATATTAAATCCAGGCTGTATTTTATTACTTTCCACTTCCTCGTTATATTTCTGTCTGAGATTGCAAACATTGTTATTTTTCATATTTGAAGTTATAGTGAATGTACGGCTTTTTCTGCTTAAGGGAAGTAAATCATTAGTTGAAATAGCATAACGCAACTACCATTATTATGCACCGTGTCCATAAATGTTTTCACCCGGCCTTTCCGCAACCGTTGGTTCTAGACATATATTTCTAAACATAAAAGTGCTTTAAATGATGTAAATATTCGTGTTTGGACATTTTAAGATTTAAAATATTAATTTTGCAAAAATTACGTAATCTAATTTTTCGTTCTCCCTCCCCAAGGTTCCTACACTTATGCTAAAGTAAATCGCATACTTGTTATGAAAAAATAAAACACAAAAATGTTTGGCTCCCGTACGATAAAAACTAACCAAGATATTTAATTACAAAATGTGCGATTTTTCACGCGATTTTCAATTTACATTGCGTCAGTTAATAAATAACTAAGAAGAACTCGGGTTTCATTTTTTCCCTTAAATTCCACTCAGTGATACATTTGTAATTTACTCGTATCTTTAATTTATAATTTTGTTACATTTGATACGCCGAAAGAATTTTCACACAATTAATTTATTTATTTATTAATATTCTCGTGAAGTTTCTATTACTGTAGAATCCTAATCGGTAATCATACAAAGCATTCATTAATCTAGAAACTTTTCTAATGCAAATAATATTTTGAGTTTGTTATGCGCTAATATAGAAAAGCTTGCCAGTGCTTCCTAAAACACGAAATCTATAATATTCGCGGAATAGGATCTCCATTTTGAGATAAAAAGGTACATCTATCAACATTTTTCATAATAATCTGCATAGAGATGGTCGTTACGTAATCTTTTAACTTCACAAACTTTTTCTATATTGGTATTTAAAATTTTTACTTATACATATATTTTAAATATTGTACATTTTACATACTAAACTGATATTTTACTTTTAGCTATATGCAGATGCAAACATTTCGCTATTCACTTTGTGTTTGACCCGGCATATAATCTCCGACTAATATGAACATCTCGGTCAATTTTTGCCTTACGGGAGTCAGACATTTTATATTTATTTTTTACAACATTTTTCTAAGCAAAAGTATGCACACCTGAGGCACGTAAAAAGGTCAGATTTGGTATTTTTTTAAAAATTGATGCCTTTAAATTAAAAATTCCGAAACATGAATCTTTGAATTAGTTAAAACATTTTGTAATTGGAAGTACATGTCTGTAACTAACAATAGCTAAATTAAAAGCCGGAGAAGTCGTGTGTACAGGGAAAGAATGAACATTGCCTGACCACTAAAAACTAACTGTCAAATCATATCAGTAACGCATGTATCTTAAGTAATATTACACGCAACTGTAATGCGATAAATATATGACGCATATAAAGTAGGCATACCTATATTATAATTACGGGAAAGAGTTTCTCCTTCTAAAACTGTAGAAATAGCGAGTAATCTCCTAGGATTAGATGTGGCAGTAGTGATGGTAATGCATTTAGTTGAATCACAGGAATTTCAGTGATGGGAGATACAGAAGACTAGAGTGTACGAAAGAGAAAATGTGTATATTAATATCTCAGCATCGTTTCTGTCAGCCATATCACTGAGTTTTCGAAATTTCTATATTGCTTGCTTTAGAATTCAAATTCGAAATTTGACTTTTGTGGGTAAGTAATGTGAGATGCATGGAATACGCTAATATGCTTAATGCGGAAACGGGCAAATTGGGTATTTCCGTTGAAATATAATACCCGAATTTTTGCGCGATTGCAATGCTTCCTTTACTTCTTCATAAAACTTTATGACTTATCTTTAATCATTGCATAAAACAAAGGTTAAAAGATAGTTTTGTTTTCTTCCTCTCTTTTCTTGAAAGCGAAAACACTCTAATAGAGATCCTATATTGAAAAAAATGAAAATCCTCACATCTATTTCATTTAAAATAAAAATTCCCATTTTGGGAAAATCTGCCATTGTAGATCTATCGTAAAAGTGAAGTAACCTATAGCAAACTTATCAAGCAGCGTAAATTATGCTATAAATGGAATAACTAGGAACTAAGTTTAAAGGTAGCCCATTCTTTTCATTTTGGCATTATACTACTCAGTTTCCATCTAAAATAGTCTCCACACAACCTGGAATATTACCAGTTCACATGTTATTAATCTTTACTTTTCAAAATATATATAGCAAAGCATTGTTTTCAATACAACAAACTGAAATATTTAAGAGCGATGCATTTAACGCTAGGTCCTTTGTATTACCTTGCAGTCTGTACTACTTATTAGCTCTAAACTTTTGAAGCTCTAAAAAAGGCCTGCCTTCAGGAGCGGTTATTTTTTTAACAGTAGATGCATTTGTTCATCAGCCGGCATTGCTTCTTAAAATAATATTTTAATATTTGGACTTTGAAATGGATTTAATAACATTTATAGGCTCCATAAATTAATAAAAGAGTTTCTAATATCTTATATTGTATATCTTGGCTAAAACCGTTTCTATTATTTTTGAAGCTCCTCTGATAGTAGTCAATTAAAGAGGAAAAACCATCAAATAACTTCATCAGCAGATTTATTATTTCTGACTAAAAACAATTACCTAAGATTCAGCTTAATTTTGAAACTGATTTCAGTTATATATTCTAAGCTACAATATACGGCATAGTGGTTAGTGAAGGCTTACTTCCAGCTCGAAACCAAGGATGCGAAATCAGTTCCCGCGTAAGGCCTGCATGTATATATGTATCGCCTCCCAAGTTGTATAATAGTGAGTTACACTGACTGCTGCATCAGTGGACCAAGGTTTTAATTCTAGAGAAGATATGAACATTTTAAAAGTATGGCAAAGGCGGTGCGGCAAGAAGGCATCCAAAATGTATAGCGAGCTGAAAGACCCCTCATGACATGTTGTTGATGACCTCTCATGTTGTTGATGATAGGAGAAAAGTGATGGAGAACGCCCACGATCTAGTAATTAGAGAAACTGGCTGTCGTATACCGATGGCCCGATTTCGAATCCCAGAGGAAGCATGGATGTTCGTAATTATATAGTGTTTGTTCGAGATGGGACCATCCAAAATACTGGCGAGCTGGAAGCCCTCGCGAATGGCTTGGTGATTGGGGAAGAATGAGCTCCGTCAAAACTGGAGCAAAGCCGCATAATTAATGCAGTATGCCCATACAACAGCAATACAGTTAAATGGCTGATGATTTCCTAAGGAATAAAGTTTTCCTGAGGAATTCCTAGAGTTTAGTGCCAGGAGTACTTTCCAGCAAGTGTTTGGCTGTGGGATGAGGAAATAATAAATTCTTCGCATTTCAAGAGAACTGTTGAAGCCTTTTTCTTCCATGATCTCTTTAAAAGTTTTCATTTATATCCATTTATATCAACGTCTTTTTGCACTCTCAGTCATGTAAGCCTCAGTCATGTCTAAGTGGCTCCATTCGTTTGGACAATATCAGAAGATAAATAAGGGTTACTGTTCCTGAACCAAGTATAATGTGATCTATTCTTTGTCTTTAGAAATGCCCTTCTGAAATGAATATCCTTTTTTAAGTTTCTTTACGTGCATTAATATCTTTCGTTACGTTATGTACAGCCTATTATTATTAAATATGAAGATGATTTACGACTTAACTTCCAGTGTTTTAGTGGAAAAAAACGTATTTATTTAGCATTATTTTCTTATCTTACGATGGCATATAGATACTTTTATTACCTTCTTTGTACATTACTTTAGGCATATGATCCTGCCTCAAATGAAAGTCCGTTTTTCAAAGTGCTTCAAATATCTTTATAGACACGGCTCTGTATTTAAGTTAATACATTACTATGAAAATGCTTTAATTTTAAGCATGAAACACTTTAATTTTTTAACCCTCAGTAACGATAATTTTAATGGAAATCGGCAAAATCTTGAATTTTTAATACTATTTTAGTTGAAAAATTACAGGATTTAATAACATGAAAATATTTTTATTAGTAATTTGTTACTAGTTAAAATATACCTCTTTTAAATTAAACTAGGACTTGGTTCACTGCGGCCGTAAATTTGGATTTGCCAAACCATTACATTTATTGAAAGCTGGTACAAAGCACATGCATTCGCTTAGCCAATTAGGTACGAGTCTCTGTTAAATGGCTTTTCTCTTCCCAGTAACTCCATTGCATAACTGTATGGACAAACTGAATTTTATCTATCAAATGCGCTATTCTATGAATTCATTTTGAGATGGCTAAGATATAAAAGTGAAGTTATTTACGATAAAATTTATGAATCCATAGCCGCAATGCTGGAGATTTCAAATAGATTGTGTAAATTCTTGCGTTTGACTATATATTGGTACAATATTTAGCTCCTTCCTGGCATACTGAAATCCTATGTACATTTTATGTTCTATTAGAAGTTTTAATTAGAAGTGGCATTCCTTCTCTTATAATTAAAATCTCAACTCGAACCGAAAAAAAAGTCTGAGCATTTTATTTACATCTATGTCATAACAGCAAGTTAATGAAAAGGATTCAGCAGTAAAGCCATAAAAAGCAATTCATAAATGCTATAGAGATCAAATATGTATTTTAACGCATAAATAGAAGAATCACAATATGTCGTTTGTGAACTTTAATGCGAAATAGCTAATTATCATGTTCGAGTGATCACATATCAGTAGAAAATGTTATCTGTGATTATATTATAATACTGCTTTCACACAGTAACCGAATTATGACATTTAGATTTAGAAACCAATAGTTAAAATGTCATTTTCCTTTAGAAAAAGCAGTTAGCTTTTAAAGAAATTACTTAATGGTAGTTTTAACTTTCTGTCAATAGATACCGCTAGTAATTTTGTTCATTTACTTAGCTAGAATTTTCTTTCTAAGTAGATTAGCCCTTAATTAACTTAACCGTGATTAACTAACTTAGCCCTGATTCTCTAATGAATCAAATAATTGAACATGTAGAACTCATTATGGTATGAATTGCACGAGGATGAGAATGGAAAAATTAGAAAGTAAAAGATAAATCCGACTTTGAAGTTATATATTCATTTTGAGACTTGCCGCCGAGACAAGAAAATGATTAGTGAGCCTGACAACCGTACCGAAAGCTTGGGTAGAAGGCAATTGTAAATTGTCCCTTCATAGGAGGCAACGGTGTCTCACCTATTTGGTGCCTCCATAAAATAGTGACCACTGCTTCCGGCCTTAATAGTGAGCAACGCCTATGACTAGAAATTTTTTGTGTATGTTTTAAAACATTTCAACAAAACTTGCATAGTATAAAATTATGTATTCTTTTTTTTTACTTGTAGTCACTACAGTCCCTGAGCTGGTACCTTCTCTTTGTCCTGAACTCTTAAACGAACCAGATCTGACTACCAACTGCCCATCTGCCTGCCCAGATGGACTTTTGTGTAACGGTGAAGAATGTGTTGATCCTCTGGACTGCTCTTGTGTTATTGATGGGAAAATATTCCAGGTAACAACTTTTAGAAAAGTGAAGTTTGATGAATTTATCTCCATAAATCAATTTAAGTGTGCTATGAGATTAGTATTCGAATGTCCAAACATCTACGTATCTCATAATATATTAGTGTTCACAGACATCTAATCATTTGAATATTTGTGAATCAGAAGAAATTAAAACTGTAAGAAAACTCACTGTGCTGCGAATGAATAGGTTCTATGCTCAGTTCCCGATAAAACAGAAATCTTACGACACAGCTATGCATAAATACACAGATGAGTAATTTTATCCATGTTATGGATTAATTCAGAGAAAGATTCATTTTCAAAAGGAATTATCTGATATGCTATGAAAGTAAAGTTGAAGCGGAAGATGTTCAGTGGCTTAGTGAGTTCAAAAAGCAGAGAATTCGAATTCTGTTCGTGAAAATTTTTAAATAAATGCCTAAGAAAAGAACATCTTAAGGACAGTTTTCTTTGGAAGAACAGACATTATATGACAGTTTTACTGCAATGATTAATTGAGAACTGGTAAAGGTACGCATACAGAAAATAGAAATTCGGAACGTAATAAAGAATATTTTAGTATTTCAGCCTCACGATACTAATCTTTTGACTGTTCAAAACATTTCGTATTTAGCATCTGTAAATGAAATTAAAATGCTTCTCAAATAGATGCTTTGAAACATTTTAAATTGTGGTCTCACATATAGCATAAGGTTGTTAAAATAATCAAGGATACCACGATTATTAAAATAACCCCTGATACAACGATTTTTATTAAAATATCTGTTGATGTGTGCTTTTGACATTTAAGTTTTTGTCTGCGGCACAAATACATAAAAGAATGGTGTTAAATTCAAAGCTAAAATTGACTAGCCGGAATAAAATGAAAATAAACAAAAACTGCAAAATGTTAAATGCTTATATGATAGGTTTCTAAAATATAAAAGTATAATGAAACAAAGTAAAGAGATAAACAATGTTTTAATGCCCAAAATTAAAGCACGTGATACATTCGACTTATATATAAGAAATTCTTGATATAAGAAATTTGAAGGAAAATTAGAAGTTTCTCTTGTAACCAAAATAGCCTGGAAATGAATAAAACTTTGGAAATATTTTGCTAATGTCATTGTAGTGAAGCATACAAGTTTTGATAAAAAAGTATCTTTTATTGATTATGTTTTTATTTGTTATTTACTCCTGTAAATTGTATTTCATTGTTCTTCTTCTAGGAATGATACCAACATAGTGCTTCATTTCTTTAAATTATCTCTAAAAATTATCGATAAATGAAAAGACAATATGTATTCTTACAATCTAAAAACATCAGACTGCGGTCTAACTCTTCAAATATGCCATAAATTAATTTGACAATTAAAAACTGCAAAAAATTTTAAACTATGAAAAATTATGTAATTATTTCTGTTCTATTCTTAAATAAAACTGTCTGACTTTGCCTAAAACTCATCTTAAAAATAATTTCAATTCTAGAAGTTCTGGCGTTTGTTTCTACACTGGGTCGGAGATTATGGGTTAGTGGTTAGCGATGCTGACTGCCGTACCAAAGGGCCCGGATTCGAATCTCAGAGATAGCATGGGTGTTTTAAAATGTATAATGTCTTTGCGGCATGGGAACACTCTAAATATGCGGCAAGCCGAAAGTCCTCTCAGAAGGTTGGTGGTAACGAAAGAGGAATGGGGGACCCTCGGACACGTCCCTTGCTGTCCTCCGAAATTCGGGGCGGAACTGAGCAAAGTCGTACTATCACCTTATATGATGGTCAAGGCCCTCGCGAACGATATACGCAATCTTGACCCTTTCCCATGATTAATTTCATGGGCTTGCTCTGATATCAAAGACCTGATCTGGTTTTATTGTTGATCGGGTGGGATAAGCCACAAACAAACAAATAGCTATCAAAGCCATAAAAACATGTAAGTCTATTGAATAAAAGTAAAAATTAAATGCAGTAAAGCCTCTATCAGTTGGGTCCTTAATCAACCGAAGTGTCTATTAACCAAGACTTGAATCAGTTTAAAAAATTTGTTAGGAAAATTAACATTAAAAAGGGTATAATGAAATATCTATATCTTTTTAATAAACAATTTTATTTACTAATAAATTAATTTGTTGAAATGTTAATTATAATACTTCTAAACTTAGTTCTAGAATTTCAAATGAACAGTTCCTGAAAACCTTGCTGAAAGAAAATTTTGTACAATCTAAATCAAGTAATATTCGCAATTATTCTTACCAATGTCTGATCATTTGGATTTCTTCTTAGTGATGAATCATTTTATCATCTTCCTATTATGCATCAGGATAAAAGATATGGTTTATATGCGTTAAATACGAAAGAAACGCAACAATCTGACATCAGTTAATAACGAATTCGTAAACATGTTTTAAATAAATGAAGTATGCGAAAACATCACTCAAGATGATGTTTAGAAATGGAAAAATGAAGAACGCAGCAAAACAAGTTTGAATGATGAAGAAATCATTCGCGCCGTAAGTCAGGAGAATAATAAAAGTTACAATCATAGGACTAAAGTGGAAGATAACAATGATATATAATGACAATGTAAATAGCTAATGTGAAACTTAGGCCATGCCGAAGCCTTAAACAAATCTCTAACTTTTAGAGCAACGTCCTGTTTCTTCAGTGGATCCTTTTGTTGACATAAATGTGGTGTGATCATGCTGTGGCTGATAGTGTAATAGAACTAGCAGCATCATGAGGTCTTATTTAGAAAATGCAGCATCAAAAATCATTCATATCCTTGCCGGAATTCGAACTCCGGATTTTTCGGCTGAAGTACACCATGAAGGGCACGCGGTAAGAAAGAAAGAAATTCTTTACAGGCTGCCTACTGCCTGCTTATACTATTCTACAGTTCGTAGAATCACTAGTACGGATACCTAATAGGCATCCGCACATAATTTACACTGCACAACCAAATCATTATTACCACTTATTCAATAATGAGTTGCGCGACCTTTGTCCTGCAAAACAGCTGCAGCTTGCCTAGGCACGGATAACACAAGTTGGTAGATGACTGGAGACAGGTTGCACGAAATGTCTAAGCAATGGTCACACGGTATCTTCCACTTATCCAGAGTCCGGTCTCGATGATCCCGTGTCTCCTGATGTAGGATTAGTTGACTATTATGCTTGGTCAACAGAAGCACACGAGTAGAACTTCTGCTGCGCAGTCTCATATCCAACAATGTCCACTGAACTGTGTGTCCCGAAACACTTGAACTTGGACCTTCATTGTACTGGGCTATCAGCTGACCCACTTTCTGGCGCCGATTTTGCTGTACCAAACGGAATAGTTCCCGACGTCCTTTTTCTTTTGATGACCCGTGACGTCCAACCCCTTGACGTCTACTGTTCCTTTCACTCCTTTTTCGTTTAACGAGAATTTATGAATTCTGTATAAATACTAACAACGGCAGATCAGGAACAACCTACTCGCAGTTTCAGAGATACTCGTTCCGAATCTTCGGGCCATTACAACTGCCTTCTATCAAATTTGTTTTGATAGGCAGCCATTCTCATCACTCTCAAAAGTAAGAGCAACAGTGATTCCTAACTTTCCTTTCCTTTTTCCACTACTGCCGTATGTAGCTTGCAGACAGTAAGCTGTATACCAGCTGTCTTGAATTAATAAGGAAATTGTTATAAATTGAGAGCTCGCCCCGTTAGGTGGCGCTCCGAGCGTCTTGTCTCCGTTGTTATTCTATAACTTAATTCCAGTTTGAGGGAAGAACGAAGGTATTAAGCCTAATAATAAGAAAGGAGTATGCCTAATAATAATATTTTAACTATTGTATTATAAAGTAAATAAAGTCGTGTACATTAACAATGAAATGGATTAATCACTTACCTCTGGATTTAATTCTCTCTGAATGGAGTTACTACAGACACTGCAAGTATAGGAAACGCAGAGTGTGGCCGGAGGACAAGATCCAAGAGGAAAGTGATTCCTTACCATTCCATTACATTTTCCACTGTTATACTGGGCTTAGCCTGCGGGATATTACAGGCTATTTTGCGAATTGTCTTCACATATGGCATCTAGAAGTAAAAGACACAAGAAACGTGTCCTAGGGGTAAGATGTGAAAATTAAAGAAAAGGTGGCTCTTTGCCACTGAGGAATTTATCATCTTTGAGTGGAGTTTCAATACATTTCAACAGATAACATGAATAAAATTTTGGTTAATATGAGAATATACATACATTCAAAAACAGTAAAGAAAAACTAAGTCCATATAGATAATTCAAATTTTCCATGAGAAATTAAAGTCTCAAGTAGAGATTCGTGATTAAGTACAACTATACATAATATACATGGTCAAAGTAAAAATTATAATTCCAGTTTTGGAGTCACGTCACGTGATGCGGGTAGAATCATTTCATTGGCTATGATCGAAAAACATGGAAAAAACTCTCTTTTTTAAATAAATACATTTTTAAGATGGGAAGATTCCTTACCTGCTCCAGCAGCAGTTAAATACCATTTCCACTTAATCACGTGATCTCTGCGTCCTCCAGACGAGTTCATTCAAAACTATGGGAATGGTTATAATGTTTTGGCTCTTCAGTGTACTTTGTAACGTAAGTTTTGAACTGTACAGTTCGCACAAAGTAATTATGCTGCTCACACTTTTGGGTTCATTTGTATATTGCTAGAGTATTACTATTATTGCTTTGTCCACATTTCAACACTGCTTTGTCCACATTTCCCTGCTGGGATCGTATAAAATTCCCTTTTGTTCACCTGCGTGGTAAACCTTTAAAGAGCACACTCACTCGCTCTTTAAAGATTATAACGAAAAAAGGTTAAAAGATCTTTTTAAAAAATGATATCTCATAAAAATGTAAGTAAGAAATATGACAAAATATTAAAAGATGAGTAAATTTTAATGGAGTTTGTTTGTTTTAGTTTTCCATGAATATTTTTGTCACGAAATAAAATCTTTTATGAATTATTTAATTGAAGTTAACAAATTTTGGTTGCTAATAAAAGAGCTTGTTCAAATGTTAATTCTAGGACTTAGTTTTAGAACTTCAAATAAACATCGTCTATTTGAAATGTTCCTCTACTCTCTGAATTTAAATAAACCGTTTCAGAAATTCTCGAAAAAAAAAAAAGAAATTGGCGTAATCTAAACGTTAATCGCTATTAACAGAGTTTTCGATAATCCGAGATAATTACGGCCCCAGTTATCTTTAATAATCAGACGTTCTACTGTATTCGTGCAGAAGCATGAAATATATATATATCTTACTACAATATTTCATCATAACTACTAGATTTTACTTTGGATGCAGGCGATAACGGATACAAATTAGAATTGTCGCAATCGGCCTTTAATTGATTACTAAAAACCTATTTTATTACTGACATTCAAGGAATAAAATAACATGCATTGCAAAATCTTGTCCAGAATAAAAGTACTTTTTAAATCATTAACTTATGTCGTACTGACAACGCAATTTTATTAAATATATAAGCTATGATATCTGTAATATATAATATGATACGATAAAAAGAGGAATCATATAAGAACATTTGTAGGAAATGTTCATAAATTGAATTAAAAGAAATAATATTAAAAGATTTTTTTTTATACTTCCTCCTGCCTTTATCAGAAAAGTAAACATTTTATCATGAGTAATATTTTATCGTGTCATGCCATACCCTATGTATTGCTGATAGTTTTTCCGAATTGATTTACCATGAGTTTGGATACGAATGCCTATGGGAAATCAGTTGTTTGTTTCTACCAATATTCTTTTGCAGAAAGATTCTTTCTTTCATTCTACTAACTACAAGAAATTCTTGGGTATTGGTAAAAATTTATGACCTTTCAGTTTGTGATGTTAATCTAAAAAACGTTTTTATTTGTCTGTAAGTATATCTTCAACTATATCCGCTTTTGTTTAATTCTGAATTTTCTAAACTAAGCCAATATCAAATTTAATATTAACCAGAAATGAAACTTAGACTGTAGTTCGTTTTATGAGAAAGTGAGGATGCATTTCAAAGGAGACAGGCGCGAATTCTTTAGGCACAAAGTACTGCGCACTGTGAGCCAGAAATACAGGATGTTCCATAAAACTTAATATAGTTTAAAAGCAATAAAGTTAGTGCATGAGACAGCAGTTTACTATTAAAGACAGCACAAAAATAGGCGTTCTTTTACATAAGATACTAAAGATATTTTTGCTATAAAAGAGCATAACTTTAAGTTAGATTTCAGTTTTGATGTTTGGTAGACCGAATTGAAAAGAAAATGGGAAGAAACAGATGATGAGAATTTTTCTTATGAGCAAACGTCCTGCGATCAAAATTTCTATAAAGTGACTATTCAAGTGACTTATTATGGTTGTGACTAATATAATTTTAAAACAGTAGTTCCTTGATCAATGTAAACCAATGTTTCAAAATCTATTATTAGAAAGAATGAACCTTATGTGATTTAAAACAGTTTCCAGCTATTTGAACTTTATAATTAAAGGAATTTTTAAAACTGAAATCGGAATCTAAGAGTAAACTGAAATCGGAATCTAAGGGTTTTATCCTTAGCTTCTCTTTCCAGTAAGCTCAAATCTGTGCAATAAATACATATTTTCAGTAACATATCAATGAAGTGGCAGAAACATCACTTGAGTTCCTGATGCATAAATTTCTGTCTTATATGCATCCTGTCGAATGTAGACAAAGCAATAATGAGAAAGAAAATAATATGAGCAATAAACAGATGTTATAAATCACATATTGTATCATCAATTTCTTTTTATCGTATCATATTATATATTACAGATATCATAGCTTTTATATTTAATAAAATTGCGTTGTCAGTACGACATAAGTTAATGATTTAAAAAACATATATTAAAAAACATGTATGAATATGATTTTATTTGTGCACAATAAAATGACTATTTTTTCAAATCGCTTTATTTTCTGGTTTTAGAAAGATATTTTTTATCAATCGTAGGCTCTATTAAGCTTGAAGGGACAGATAATTTACATCCATACCTCCCCGGGATTCGAACCCAGATCTTTCGCTAAGGCAGCCAGCCTCACTAATCACTTACTCTTCTGGGCGGCTCTTAGAAATATATATACAAAATTATCCCGGTATACCTCATTAATACGTTCCAAATTCTTGAACGTATACCAAACGAACTTTTCCAATGCAAAGGAAATAAAGAGAAAATAATTAATCCGTTCTTATAAAGAAGACCATGTTGTTATTATTTAAACGATGTTTAAATAATAACAACATGACTAAAATACAAACGCAGTGTGTGAAATATATACCTTACATAAAAGAAATATTTTACTTGATAGAAGACATAAATATTTTCCTGTTATCCAAATAAAAAACAATTTCTAAAAATGCTGTAATATCTCCGATCTTTACGCACTGTGTGAAATATATACCGTACATAAAAGTAATATTTTACATCATAGAAGACTTAAATATTTTCCTGTTATCTAAATAAAAAACAATTTCTCAACATGCTGTAATGTCTCCGATCTTTAATCACCTTTGTTTGGTAATCGATTTCATCTCCTCCGTAACCTTAGCCTGTTTAATAGCGTCTATGTTTTGCACCAAATGTAGATATCGTTGTTCTTGACGTACGGTATGCAATGGCTAAATTCCATATACGCATGGCATCTTCATATTTTTCACCTCGGGGTGATGTGATCCGGACATCGTTAACTGACATCGTTTACATCGTTAACTGACTCTCCTCATTCAGTTTCTTAAATCCCGTTGCTAACGAATTTACAAATTAATTACGTCAGGAAACAAAAAAAAATCCCTCAAAAATTCAGATTTAGAATGAAGTTGTATACTGGATAGTAGAAACAGGCGTACTGACGCTCATGGGAAATCGTAGTATTTAAACAAGTACAGTGTGCGCAGGCATGGCTCATCGAACTCGCGTCGTATTCCAGACAAATATCACATACCAAGCAAAATTTTCGCATCCAAATAGGACTTATACTAAGTTGGACGTATTTCAAAGCAGACGCATACCGAAGTACCACTACATACGTCTTATAAACGATTTTCTCTTTCGTCTGAGATTTCTAATTATTTTTCTAATTAACTAAACAGCAAATTTTCAATTTTGAACTTCCTTGAAGAAACTGCTGGACAAATAATTGCTTTAATTAGCGAAAGATATTTTTCTCTGTAAGAAAAATAAAAGTTTTAGATTATACGGAGCAATAATTTCTAAATTTGTAAGTTTCTTATTCGTCTTTACTCTCCATGTTCATTTTTAAAATCCTGTTGAATTCTTTTTGTCTATTTTAGGTCAGTGACAGAGTAGAAGATCACGCATGCAGGCAGTGTGACTGTGCTCTTGGAGGGAGGTCTGTATGTGCCGACAAAAAGTGTCCGCCTTGCAAAGAGGTAAATTTGTTTTTGAATCAATGGATGTAATTTTAGACGTAATGGATGTAATTCAACAATAATGGGCGTTTAGTTTTTTAATTTTTTTATAATAAATGTTATGTAATCAATGGACATAATTCATAGCTTAAAAAGAAATATTTTATTCGGTATTGTAAAAAATGTAATATGTCTGACATTATTGTTTCTGGTGCTACGAAAACAACGCATATTATTCAGTCCAGTAGTCACTAACTGCATGGGGCCGAATACACGATTCGAAACCAGTTGAGGGGCAGAACTTATTTTACTAAACTAATATATAATATGTATATATATTGAATGTTTACTTTTGATTTTTGTATTTTTGCGATTCATGATTTTTCTTTTGACTTTTTCTGGTTTTTACTGCAATAGAAATCTAAAAATGCAAATTTAAAATACTAATTACAATACTGTATAAAAAGTACTTTTATAATAATTCATGGTTTTAATTGAATTTCTGTTCCTTTGAGATGATATTAAAAAGTTTTCTAATAAAAAATTATGTATAAATATATATATATGTTTGTATGTTTGTGTGTGTGTGTGTGTGATGATTTGGCAATGTCGATTACGATTATAATAGATGTTGTAGCACAAAATAGTAGAAGATTGCGGCAGATTTTTAAAGATTTTATTACTAGAATTGATATCTGCGGTCACAAATAACTTGGTTTTAAGACATTTAAATTTTTGATACTGTGGGCCAGTCTAGATAGACCGAAAAGAGGAAGCAAAGTGCGATGGAATCAGAACGAAATTTCAATTCATATTGGGTTAATTTCTGTTTCAGTACATTTTGATAATCAATAATGCTCTAAAACTGTTATTAGCTGTTGTAAGTTTTACTTCGCGAAACCGTTTAAATCACGAGCATTATGTGAAAGTCATATGATTTTTATTAATCTAGAAATAATACAGTCCAGAAATATTTGTTATAAGCAATTACTATTTTTAAAATAGAGAGGGGTATACCCATATTAAATGAATAATTGAGGGGCTATCCCTAATTTAAGTTATAATTTTGATTTACATATTTTTTATTTTACATATACATATTTCCACGTTAAAATCTAAAGGTTGATATCTGCAGGTAATTTCTAATTGTTACACTTTTTATTTCAAATGTCTTGAGAGGTAAATATTAAATTTTCAAGCAGGTATTTATTTCAAATAACTCTAATTTACTGAATAAACCACTAAATAACTTATTTAAAATAAGTAAATTACGAAGCCTTTCCAGGTAGAACAAAACTCGAAAACGAGACATCGAAAAAGTTTTTAAGGACGGCCCTAAAATTAACTCTTCGCTTGGATAAGTGTATTCAATTAAATATGGATTAGCTTGAAACACTGCGTAATAATAGTGATGAGGTATTCTTAGAACTTTAAAACAGCCCTCGTAAAATGCTTTGTGTGTATTACGAGAGATTTTACGAGGGACGAAAATAAATTTATTAGCTCCATGTATAGATATTCTGGAGCATTTCTCACGTTCGTTTTTAATGGTAATAAAAAATAATATAAAACTGGACTGCAAATCATTAAAGTCTCAAACCTTTTCTTCAAATTTTTGGCATCCTTAGCATTAATGACATAATAATGCTAATTAATCAACAGGAAATGTATTCGCGGGGCGCATGAAATTGCTTTAGAATAAGCCACCATTTTGAAATCACTAAATCACTGATTTATTCTATTATGAAAGCTAAAATACAATATGGTGTTAATAAAAATGAATTCTTTTCAGTTTGAACTATGTATTTTCGAGTTATGTTATTACTTTTCTCCTTTCTTTCCGCGTGCCTTTGAGGTGTAACTAAACGCTTACTCGACGGTATTCGAGAGGTCCAGGGCTCGAGGTCTCAGCGAGGGCACTGCACATTTTTTATGTAATTTTTTATAAGATACTAATAGACTATTATTATAGTAATGCATAAATTATTCTTTGCTATAGGACGAAAAATCATCCTTAGGGACAAACTGCGAATGTAAGTGTGAGAAATGTTTAGACTATGAAGTTCTTTGTCCAACTAGTCACGAATGCATCCCAAAGAAGAGGTGGTGTGATGATATCGTGGATTGCCCTGATGATGAGACGAACTGCCCAAGTGAGTGTTTTTTGCCTTTCTAAGTAATTCATTCGGGAATCTTCTATATTAACTCTACAATACAAATCCAATTTCTTCAATTGTTTCAATTTGTCCTTCTTGCATATTAACTCTTTCGCATCGGTAGAGGCCAAAATCTATTTCATTCAAACATCTAAAACCCCCATATATATGTATTATTGTTGGAATGGATTTCCTTCCTCCATGACAAGTAGAATGCTACATCGCTAACAATAACCTACTTGAGTAAAGCGACAACTTCTGTCTTGGACGCTTTCACCAATGTGTGCAGTTTCCCTTTATGGCAGTATTGCAACTTCTAGCATCAATATGAAATTGCATTGACAGAAAACAAAGGAAAAGGAAGATGCGTAACTGAAAGAGCTACTTTTACTCACTTCAAAAGAATTATTGGCATGTCCTTTAACAACCTCGAAAGCAATGAGCAATGGACTAACGTGATGAGGCACTAGGTGGAAAATGATTCAGACGTTCGGGTGATCTGCTGATGTCTGAATGGTCGGGCGTTTTGGGCGACTTCCATGTGAAAGAGCTAAATTTAAAGTAAAATAGCATGGTACTTTCTGATTATCCTCACCTGAAACGTATGCATGAAACAACATACTCTATCGCCAAAACAGGGAACTTGTTAAGCTATTTATTTATGGACAACCCAGATATGAGCGCGAGCAGCAAACAAGAGCCTGTTTTCCGCCTTCAAACTCTATATTCATTTTTCTGATTCTGATTTAATCTTTGTTTCTGTTACTTCCGAGTATTTGTTTCTTGTTAGGAATCAAACTGGGATTGGGAAATTTGTCGGGTGAGGGAAAAGAAAGCATTGCATTTCTTCAGAAATATGGCGTTTTCTTCAACAAAATAGAATGCAAATTTTATCTTCCATGAAGTTGTACTTTTTAAACGACAGAATTCTTTCTTATCCAAATATTATGAATCGAAATTTGTGCAAATCTTTGATTTTTTTATACGAAAACAGATCACTGCGTGCATGAGAAGAACGACAGAGCCCAGTGTGCTCGATGCCCATTTTATATAATTCACTGATGTTTTTGAAGCTAAAATGGATCGCTATGTGCATTGGGAGAACACTGAAAAAACTGTATTTTGTTATAGATATTTCTTGCTTTGTTAATTAACTGCATGTGTATGCAACTTTTAATGCTCCGACTTTTTTTAAGCTGATGTTTTTCACTTCTAAATTTGGCAAAAGATTAGTCTGCGATGGTTGGGGGCATTTCGGGAAGAGGTTCGGGTAATCAGAAAGTGCTAATACCGTAAATTGAATTCTGTTTTAGTCTATGATATTATATATTTGATAATAGCATTTCTAATTCATTTTCTTCGTCCTCTTAGTTACAACGGAAATACCAGTGACTCCAATTGGTAAGTTTCCTAATGCTTGTCTTTTTCATTAGCCTTGTTGATGTAATAAGCATTGGAATCATTAAACAGAAACTGTTTCCTAATTTGTTTATATAATTAATGTATTTATTTATTTAGTTATTGCTTCAAGAAGTTATTTGTATCTGAAGTGAGAATTACTGCTCGAAAAATAAAGTCCAGCTTGAAAATATTCGCTCGATCTAACTTACCATTTTCAAGCTGTCTAAAATATAATGAAATGATTATATATTTAGCGAATAATGTAAGCAGGATACTTAACTATTAAAATACGCGAAACTTTGGACCATGGTAACACAGTAGTCATGATTTAGCATATTAATTTAATGAATAACAGATGGTTAACCAACGATTTTTTCGTGAATATTTTCTCTGATTCCATGAGTTCAAGTTTAACGATTACGTGTGACTGGGCTTATCTTCTATCATCCAGCATGTTTCTCATAACAATAAGGGAAATATGCCTTTCACTTACAGGTAGTTTTTAGTGTAATACAATTTTCTTCATGTATAGCAAGCACCCTTCAATAAACGTATCTAAATCCAAAGTCAACCCTCCACTATCTCGCTGGAAATTTCTCAGCATTTCGCACACACATTTCGGATGTTGCAATACCCAGTTCTAGTGGACTATTCTTTTAAATATATCATCTATTCCCAGCATATCTATGCTGCATGCACGAGGATTCAATGCACACGGCCTGAGCTGATCACCACGAGGTGATGACCCGATGAAAATGGCAGCAATTTCTTGTGCAAAAACATATATTAACAAAGTTACTTGAAAACAGATTAATTTCCAGCATAATCCCTTAGCACACACATACTTTCCAGCACTCACTTTTTTTCTGCTTCTCTCTTTTTCTACCATCTATGAGACGAATGCATTTCCATGAGTGAGAGCGATGCAAGGGCCGCAGCCCCGCATACTCATGCGAGTCGTAGTCCGCAAAGAGAGGAACATCGATCCACTAGAACTGTGCCCTAACACCAGGGTACCTGGGTTCCGAGAACCTACCCTTAGAACAAAAAGAAGTTTTCGAATCTTGAGACGAAATAATCTGAGTATTATCCGCGAACGAGAAGATGAGAAAGTAATTTAAGATGAAGGAATTATTCACAGGTCATCTGCATAATTTTCTATTCAGCTTAGCGCAAATCACAAAGTTTCTCAGCTATGTTGATATTTCGAAGGAGGCTAAAAATTTCAGAGATGACTTTAAGCAGTTCTTGAATATCCGGGCTAATAAACCAGGATAGGAGTCCTTCCAGGATATCTGGTGACGATGCAGGCTTACTTCTCAACTTATCACTGTAGCTGGCTTTGCTCGCAATTCTGCTCCGTCGAGGATCAGTCGTTGTCGGCTCAGGAAAAATTTCTTGGGTGACATCTGGGGGTGGTTTTCTCTGGGTTCTGGGCTGTCCTCCTTTTTCAAACCTCTTCTTGTATTCCGCGCAACTACGGAAACTCTTTACATGCTCCCCTTGGCAAAATATGCAGCACGGTTCTCCTCAGATATCTTCGAGCATATATTACTCCCATGAGGTCATCCGCACTTGACGCATCTTTCCCGGGTTATTGCATAGATGCTGCGTGTGTCCGAAGGCCTGGCAACGAAAACATTGCACAGGCCTTTTCTCCGGGTTATATTTCTCCACACGTATGTCAAAACTGAAGACGTTGTTCAGCTGGAAAATCTGGTTCCCTTCAGTATTTCTCTTGAGTTCTACAAAAAATATGGGCAGTTTGGCTTTTACTCCGTTTTCGCTGCTCTCGAACTGCTCGACCTTGACAGCAGAAAATTTTCTATTCCTCAGATCCCTAAGAATAGAGTCTTCTTTGATAGAAGCAGGGAGCCCCTTCAGAATCACTCTGATGTTCCTTTCGTGTCGTGTTTGTGTTATCAGCCGATAGATGGAATTGTAGAAAAGCCGCTGATAGGGGGCGCACGATATCAATCGAGAATCGGGAAGCGAGAGAATAGGATTAATGTTAAGAATGTTCCGTAATGATATGTATATATGTATATAACTTTTGTAACAATAAAGCATTTATAAAATGCAAGATTTATCCCGATTGAATGAAAAGTGAAAGCCCGACTTACCCCTAGCCGTCCTGAAATTGATAACGGAGATTAAAGTTAACAGTTGGTACGTATGGAATCCAGTATTCCTTTCTTTGAGAAGCTTCATTACACTCTGGTAATCCGCATGACTTTTGTCGTTCTCGTTTCTCTCCCAAATGTTTCGGTTTCACAATACCCGGCACGGTCAAGGCTATATTTGGAAATGATTGATTATTCTAATGGGATACATTTTAGCACCTTTTTATTTAACCAAAACATATATATGTAAGAAACATGACGTCAGCATTTTAGTGTGAAAATAGTAGCTCTCTTATCTACATACAGAAAAAAAAATAAAGCTGATTTTTAGTCAAAGTAAATCTATAGTATCTATGCATTATCTTATAGTAATAAAAAGCATTATTAAAGTAATAAATAAACCTTTCTTGAAGTTCATATTATAGCATTATTCTTAAAAACAGGGCAAAATATGTGTATGCATCAAGAAAGACGTTGATCTGCAGATCTCACAGGGAATTACTAAATCGAAAATTTTTAATAAACTTTTCCTATTTTTCTATTTTAACCTTGCAGTTTTTCAAATAACACTTTAATTCTCTTTATTATAATCCATTCCATATTCCATTCCTCAATGCCCTTTAATTTTCTACATCCTCTTCATCTTCAAATATTTTGTAATGCCTACTTATTCGAAATTGCAGACAGCAGTATCTCGACAGTTATGCAGTTTTCTAGTAATTCGGGAAAAGACCAGTTTAGAATATTTGTGGCATTCTCTGAATTCTCGTACAAATTTCCGCAGATAGGAAAGCGAAAATTATCACTTTCGTCCACTTTCTATGAAAATCAAATATTAAATTAAGCTTTCTGAAAGTACTTTTGAATTCTAAATTCAATAATGGAGAGAATAGAAACTTTTTGGAAATAAGTTTTCTAGTAAATTAATAGATAATTTTAATTCAAATCATGCAAAGAAAATTTCATTGCACAAAAATTTACCGCTTAAAATAATAATTAATTTTAATGTGTTTTTATTTTATATGCAAAGTTTGCCTAAATTTGGTTAAAAGAAGATATCCACTAAAATATTTAATTCCTTTTCTGGAAGTTACGGTCTATGTAGTTTCTTAAACGGAAAAATTCATATAAGTTTCGGAAAATGATAGGAATCTAGTATAGGAATAAAGCATAATTTTTTATTTTATTCTCTTTGAGAAATTTCAATAATTCATTTTTTATTAGCTTGATGAATTTATCGTTAAATTCTGAGCGCTGTTAATTTAATTTCAACAATGTGTGTGTGTGTGAATACGGCAAAGCCTCGAGGGCTATCTGCCTAAGGGGAGGGATGCCTTCGTGGAGGACTTTCTAAGGGGAACTGGCTCGTATACACGTTACACATGAGGAAAACCCCGAAAACGCCCATACAGCCAGCCCGTTCATGGGCTTCGAATCTCCGACCGAACTACCAGTGTTCAGCGACTTTACCGCTTGGCCGCTGGTGGGTTAATTTAATTTCGTATCTTATATAAAATAGAACTGTAATGTCTGGTATGGGATCAACTAAAATTAGCTATCCCAGTTACCATTAACTACAACTACGGTGTTACGAAGGTTCTACAAGGTGAATTATTAGCACCAACATATCTAACTCTAAAACAGCCCCCCAGCGGCCAAGCGGTAAACTGGCCAGCGGCCAAGCTGAAAATTGGTTAATCGGTAACATGTGTAACGTGTATAAGAGACGGTTTTTCTTAGAAAGCCCTCCACGAAGGCATCTCTCCGAACCAAATCAGCACACTCTAAAGCAAACAGATAAAGGTTGTAAGGATTATGTTAATTTTATTAACAGATAAATTTTGAGTTAAACTTCCTTTCCTATCGCTTCTTAATTTCAACTTACCACTTCCGGCCAGAACGCAGTTTTAGAATCACGTTTGAATGCAAGTTAAGGAAGAGCGGTATTTAACCGCGAAGTTCTACTGTCTTAGTCAGAGACAGCCAAAGATTCTAGTTAGCACGCGTCCGCCTTTTTAGGCTACTCTCTCATAAAACTATTATTACACTCGGCCGTACTTTAGGCCCTTGATAACTTCGCAGTCAATTAGCGTTAAGGAGCCAGCTCTGGTAGAATTTTGATAGCTTCGGCTATATCTCTTTAGTTAAGATTAGTTTAGTTTAATTCATAGTCTCTTAAGTTGAAGCCCGAGTGTCGGCTTTATTGTACAACTCCAAGACGGAGTTCTGTTAAAATTTAGTTGGAATAATAAAGGGTTATTTCACCCATCTCACTTGTTGTTTTCTACCCCACGATATAAAGAGATATTCGCTTACTAGTTCTTAAGATTATTCACATTCAACTGCAACTTAGAAGTACACAGTACAGAATCTTTACAAGGTAAAAAACAGCTAAATTTATTCTATCTTACCACTTGTGAGGAGTTAAATTAAAGTATACAAATACAAAGTTACCAGCCATCTGTACCTGGCTTAACCTCAAGCTTCTTTCACAATTGTTATAAATTCTAGCAGTTAATTTAAATTTTGCAGAGGCTGCAAGCTTCACCTAGGCTGCAAGCACACCACCTTCACAGGATGCGAAGGCAAGTTAATTCTATTAAGGCGTTTTTGGAGACAAACAGGGCCAGAAAATAACCGTAGAAAATAGCCGTGTCACTGATTTACCACGAGGCCACTCAGTAATATCTTGAATATGACTGAACCAGGACTTTTGACCACTTCTAGCGGCAACATCTCGAGAGAGGGAAGTCATTAGTGTCCTTTTAACTATTGTCATAATAGACTGGTAGGTCAGTTTCTGGATATTTGGCTGTAAAACAGAAGCCCCTTTTTTTTGCCAGAAAGTCAGCTGTCTCATTCCCCTCAATTCCGCAGTGGGCCGGGATCCACTGCAAAACAACTGTTTTATTACAATCTGATAAACATGCCAAAAGATTGGTATAGTCATCGACATCTTTAGTATGAGATGGACCAGCAGAGCTGCTCCTGAGTCCGAGAAAATCACTCTAGGAACTTTAGAAACACATTCAGAAAGGCCAATCGGATAGCAGAGATTTCTTCGTCGAAAAGTGACATGGACGAAAACACCAACAGGAGAGTAAAATGAAAACAGCTCGCAAAAAACACCGGCTCCTGCACTGGCACAATCTTCCACCCTAGAACCATTTGTATAGACCCTGAGCCAATGCGAAATAGGGTTATGATTATTCAAAGTTTCCTATGCTACATATTTTAGGATTTCATCACAGTCCTCTGCTTTTAATACACATTCTGACTCAAGTCAAGGCAGATCGAATACGTTTTGGCTTCGATGAGGCAGCGGATTAATAAATATTTCTGTATTCTAAATTCAATGTCAAGTTGAGAAATCAGATTGATGACTTCCTGAACAAAGCCTCTCCGAGTCTCTAGATTACGATCAGTAGATATATGATTACGCATGGTCAGACGAGGAGTTCTAATAATTTTCTCCTTCTGAAAGGCCTGTTATTAGAGTATAACAATAAATAATCAATACTGATGGATTTAACTGCTCCAGTAATGAGACGAAAGACTTGATTTTGAAATTTGCTAAGGAAGTCAACCATTTTCTTAGAAGCAGTAACAATTAGTTCACAACAGTCAGTTATGACAGACAATATATAAATGGAGGCGTTCGGATCATCGATGGTGTTGGCCGTTAAACTTCGTGCTCCGATTTTAGTGGATTTTAGAGGTGGAAATAGCTACAGTCGGTATTTTTCATGTTTTAAAATGTGTGCATAAAGTTTCCTGATCAAGTAGATACCAATTTTGTGAAATTCGACCTGCAAATTTCAAAATTATGGTGATTTTGGATTCTTATTTGTGGTTTAGTGTTGCGAGATTCCAGCAATGGGGTCTTCGTTTTGTGAAGTTTTGGATCGTGTTTTGTGTCAAACAGGTGTAGAAATTATGTTCTACAGCTTCCCTGTATTGCATCGATTTGCGTCATATGTATTTTAGATAAGTATTTACTGAGGTTTGGTTTAAGGTAGATCTGCAGCAACTCCATTTGGATCCCGCCAAGATCAAGAAGAGACAAGGCAGGGTTTGCAAGGGAAGGCAGGGTTACCATATTTGGCAAGAAATCGCGCATTTTGCAACAAAATGGCGATATACCATGGACGGATAGAGAACCTTCTGGAACGAATTCTTACTAGTTTAGCCCAGAATGTTCTCGAACACAAGCCGAAAACTATATAAACCCTGCTGGTACGCGGAGAGCTAGTTTAGTATCGTGTTGGTGTCTCGTCTAGCGAGTCAATCCCAACGGAGTTCATTGAGTTGACAGCCATCAGCGAGTGCCGAGTGGGTCGTCGAGTGCACCGAAAGAGTCTCGCAGTGTATCGCGGTCAGTGCATCGTCGAGAGCGTCTTAAGCTCCGGGAACGACTGAACCGAAGAGTCAGGAGCTGTGCTCTGCGTGTCGTCGAGTGCATCGCGAGTTGTAGCGTGGAGAGTCTCGAGAGTACATGGAGTTCCGAGAACGATCAAGCAGAGACGGGAGCTGTATTCTGGTGCTTTGCAATGAAGCTGTCTCCACCGTGATAACCTGATAACCTGAAGGCTGTGTCGCTGATCGTGTCAGCGTGTTTATAGTAGTTCATCGACGACTGTAAAACGTGTTTTGGAGCTGTCCTGACAATACTGGCTAATAAAGTGTGTTTCGATACTTCATCAAGTAGTGCCGTCATTATTCACTCCAAATCCATACGAACCCCGTACGAACGTGAAGGAAAAGAAAATAACGTAAAAACTGGTGTCAGAAGAAAGAAAAACGCAACAGTATTATATGTTTTTATTTCGTAATACTGTCTTCGAATTTTCTATTTAAAGTCTTATATAGTTCTGGCTTCCTATGTATTCTTCCTTTCGCGATTTGGAGTCCCTCTTCTCAAATATTTGTTCATTTCGTGTCCAGGGTCTATTTTTAGCATTATTTTATGTATACTGTTTTATCTGGATGAAGCTTGAATCCCAGTCCATGTTTTCTTTCATGAGTAGAACTCAATAATATCACAGAAGAATTTTTCTTTACTATTTATTTTTTGTAATGTGTTTTTGTTATTTGATGATGACATTTTTGACGCGTATTTTCCCCAGGTTATTTTACTTTAACGTAAATGTTTGTGCAAAGTAAAATAAAATTAATATTCTACTTTAAAATATCTTTTATTATTTCAGCTGCTATTCTTCCGACACCAGCTCCTGTTCCAGGTAAGAAATGTCAAAATTATTACAGTAAGGGAAGGCAGTATTATATATTTCAGAGCATATTATCTATTCATTTAGCTTAATTTATTTTATTTATGTTACACTTAAGTCTGCAATTTTTTTTTTTTTTTTTTTTTTTTTTTTTTTTTAGGTCTAAAAATATAGCTTACGGTTATTTTACGTCTGAGGATTGTTTAAAATCTTGTTTATTCTGCTTAACTTAAATGAAATTAAATTATTTAAAACGATTACACGAATTGAATTTATCTATCTTAAATAGAAAATTTTGTAGCATATGCATAATGTATGATATCAAAAACGTCTTTTATTAATTATACTATTTATACACCATGTCCGCAGAAATTCTTACCCAGCTTTTATTTTTGTAACCGTTGGTCAGAAAAATACTTCCAGTTACAAAAATTGTTTTTGAATCACGCAAATATTCATGTTTGGGCATTTTTAAATTTAAAGAAATTAATTGTATAATAATTACAAAATCTAACCTTTTACCCATTCCTTCGGCTCCTATACTTATATTCAGGAAAATATTCTACTGATTATAGAAAATAAAACGTAACAAGTTTGCCTCCCATACGGCAAAATTTGATTGAGATATTTGATATTAAAATCGGAATCAAATTCAGGGGCAGTATACAAATTGAAGAGAGAAAGGTTTGCCTTTGTACGTAACTAAAAATAAAATATTATTTAGAAAAAACTTTTTCATGTTAAGAGAATACATGACGAGTATTACTATGCAGATTATTGGGAAATATACTAAATATATATATGTATATATATATATATTTAAATGAAAGTCTTATTCGCAGAATCTTATAGAATTCGTGTTCCATGATACACAGTCAAGGTTCAGTATTAGCACATAGCCAACTCGTAATATTATTTTCATTTATTAAAATAGAAAATATTTATATTTTGATGATTTTTTTATTTTTGCGAGATTATTATTGTAAAGCAGGGTTTCTTAAACTGTGGGTCTCGGGACCTGCACCAGAGGGTCGCCAAAAATTTTAGCAGTTTTGATATTTCTTTAACTTATTATAATAATTTTACAATTACTAAATATTTTTACACAATGTATCTGAAAATAGATAAAGATAAGACAATACAGACAAAAAAAAAACGAAAATGTTTCGACGAATTCTTTTTATAATATAAAGGTTCATTTTCCTTGCTCTCATTTCGTCTGTTACTTATTTAAAATTTTCACATTGTTCTTTATCTTAAAATTAGAAATTAAAGTTGATGACTTAAAACTGCTATAGTATATTACAGTACAGGCGAAAAAATTGACAGTTTCACTTACGCGTGTGTCAGATTTGTGCAATACTTACGGGGTCCTGGGGGTCGCGAAAAAATCTCAGTGATAAAAAAGGGTTGCGACTGAAAAAGGTTTAAGAAACTCTGCTCTAAAGTAATAAAATTCATGAGAAAATTAATAACTTTTTTATACATATAAGTTACTTGATTCAATATTCTTTCGTCATACCAAATGAAACAAAATTAAGAATAAAAACACTAGTAAATCGCAAAAGAATACCATTAAATGGCGTTTAAGGAGCAACAAAATCGACCGCGAATTATTCTAATTTATTTATTAACCGACCCCCATGTTGCAAGTTCAAAATCACCTCACACATCGATGGTTTTGAAATTAAATATCTCGGTCAGTTTCTGTCATAAAGGGTCAAACTTCTTGTGTGTTTTTATAACGAGTACAAAATGTTTATAAATATAAGGACTCGAAGAACGTGTAAAAAAATTAGATTTCGTATTTTATTCAAAAATATTTTTTCCATTTAAGAAACGCATGAAGTTTAGCTTCATTTAAAGCATTTTTGCAGTAGAAACGCATGTACACAATTAACGATTGCGGAAATAAAGGCGAGGTAAGGGTTTTTCTGGACATGTTGCATGAATATTAATTTAATTATTATTATTTAATATTAAATTAAAATTTTTTGTTATAATTAGAAATATAATGTCTTAGTATGAAATGATAACAACCATCAAAATTTTCAGTTTGCTAGGTTTATGGATGCTTAAAGAGTGGATTTTCATAACTGTGAATCTGTAATATAACGTGAATAACAATTAGGTGGCGCAACATAAACTGAACTGAAATGACTCAAAATACTAAGAAACGGCCTTAAGCGTTTCTGAGATCGAAATCTTTATTTTTTTCAGTAAAATTATTACACTGGTGAGAGACTCTGTTATTATTCAGCGGTAAGAGACTGCTAGGGATGCCCAAACGTTTTGTACATTAGAGCATATTCTGTAATATGTGTTAGGCGCCGGCACATTAGTTTAAGGTAAATTTATAGGCTGACATATTTAATAATACGCATAATACACCAAAGAATTATTTCAAAAATACTGTTTTAAGATATAAAAGTTATTTATCCATTATGTAAATTTACAGATTTTTAGTTTATTATTCGTTAGTACAAAATTTCATTATGAAAATGCAATTCTTAAAATCAGTGTGATTGCTTATTGCGTTGGGGATTGCTTCATATTAGGAGAGAATGATAATGTTCCTGCTCGTCCAGCAATTATTAAGATGTTCACTTCTAAGTCGAAATCTGTACTTTAGTTTTGCAATATTCATTCCTGAAAGCCATTACTTACGTAAGTGTGTGGAACCAAAAACGATTTTGTCTTGCATGATACTCTTTTGAAGAATGGAAATTTCTGTCAACTATATTTCATAAGTTCTCATCTGATATACTGGCTTTTAGGACAATGCCATTTTGAATATTCAAAATTTCTAGCTCCATTTCTTCCGTTCTCACTTAAATAAACTCTGGAATGTATGCAGCTATTTCAGTTGCATTTACATGGCAAGAATATAGGTAAAAGGATTAATGAAAAGTTGGCCACTAGTTCGATTGATTTTTAAAACATTTTATTTAACATTCTTCACTTTTTTATTTGTTTAATTGCTCTTTATTTTTTCTTACACTAATTACGCTGCTTTTTTTAACATTTTATTTTTTCTATAATGTTAAAAGTACTTCCTTGAAAGGATCTTAAATCCATGTTTCATTTTTAATTCAATGAAAAGGGTTAATTTTTGCTTTACTAGCATAGTAAGTCTTCAATTCTATAACGAATATGTTACGTGAAACTTAAAGCTTAATTGCTCAATGATCTTTCTCAGATTATTTTTATTACTCTCATTTTCGGAAAGGTTACGTGTAAACATAAACCTTTATCAGTTGATTGCGTCCACGTCACACACATATTTTTGTCTTGGTCTTTTCTTATATAAGATGATCCCGCTATGTTGTATGATATAAAGTCAGATTTTTTAATTATGACTTTATATCATAATCTTTTTTAATTTAGAAACGTAATTAACTGACAACTATGACAATTTTAAATGTCTCTCACTAGTAAAACCACTGGCGCTGTCTGGAGACGGAAAAATATACTTTATATTAAATTCCTAACATACTTCCACCTTATGATATTTTTTATATTTTACATAAAAGTATGAAACGCTAAAAAAACCTTTTAATGTATCTTCAGAAAATGCTACATGTGATATAATGGGCAAGCATATCAACACATTTGACGGCCAAGATATAACGTACGACATTTGCCACCACGTCGTTATGAAGGACATATTAAATGGAATATTCAATTTATCGAGTAAGTACCATAAAAATATTTTTAAATGTTTAGATGACCGAATAATTGCTAATATCAGTAAATAATACCAAATATAAAATTACGAATAATAACGAAGGGTATATATATATATATATACAAAAGCAAATTTAACTTTAAGATTTATTTAGCATTTGCTTCATTTGCGGCATTTTTAGCTTCTCTTTTTTGTCAATATTCTGTTTCGTACATGCTGTTGTCTCCAAAAGAGAAAAAAAAGGCAGTATATTTAAATTAGTTATTTAAAATCGAAGATGACGTGACTAGTATCTTTTGATTAATTGAGTGATTTCACTATTTTACACATAATATTTTAGCGATCTATTCCTTGCTTTAGCTAGCCATAGCTATTTATTATGAATCAGAATATTGTTCATGTGTTCCTAATACTTAAGAAGGTAAAAGAAATTTAAAATAATTAAATAATTTAATTTAGATGAGATTTTTTTAAAGTTTGATTGAAAGTTTGTTCCCTCTCGATTACAATTTAGTTAATTATTTTACAAATGTTTCCTTAATATTTCATTCTGAATATTATGTTTGCTTTTATTACGAGTTGTGATGCATTTATCTGTTTATCTGCTTTTTAGTTTTTGTAATACGCTTGTAAACCTCTACGTTAACATGAGTTAACAGAGAGGTATATAAAATTTCGATTGATTTACTTCACATATTTACGAGTTTATCTAATTTCTTTGAATTTTTCTGTTATTAAAATTGTGTGCATTTTCATCGTGATTACCCTATGAGTAAACGATAAGATTTTTGCAATGAGAAAGTTGTAACGCTTTGTATGTTTGCTTTATTTTTAATCATCTCAATGATAAAATCATTCTCATTTTATCATTATTTTGATTTGTTCATTATTTACTTGAAGTACAGACTAAAATAAAAAATATATAAAATTTAGGGAAGATAAATGTAGTTATGATAAACAGCATAACAAAGTGTACAGAAGTTCAAAAAAAATTTTCCGCTGTTAAACGGAACACGAGTTAAATTAAAGAATTTTTTCCCACCATTGAAATTTTTAAGTAATGAAAAACAAGATAAAACAGTGGATTAAATAGATTTCTTAATTACAAGTGTAATCAGTCAACTCCTGTTGATAAACAATACCACAATCCCCTAACAAATACAGGTTCTGTCATAATTTTGATTTTCGCTAAGAAGTAAGAAAAACTTCACTCTTTTTTTCATGTTGTCAGGAACTGTTGAATAACTTGTGGTGATGATGTCTTTATTAGCTGAAAAAAGGAGCTTCTTGTTTTTAGACGAAACACAGTTTATTTTGTCATCACTTTACATCTCGATGTACACATCACATAAAACCTTTGATAAAAGCAAATATTTAGCTGCTATAATACATCACTTTGTCTATTTCTTATCTGTGACTGTAAAAATAAACAGATGAGCCAGAAGGCCACAAACTCTGCATTTTCTACATGAATGAAGTAGAATGAAGCAGAAACGTAACAAAAACGGATAACTATGACAAGGTTAAATTTCTGTCACTAGTGAAACTACTGGCGCCATCCAGTAAGGATAAAAACACTTTATACTGAATCCTTAACATATTTCCATCTTTAATTTATGGTGAAGACCAGAAATTAAAGTTACCCTTTACTCAAATGTAATATAATAAAATAAAATAAAATAAATTACTTATTCAAAAATAATATAATAAAATAAACAATAATACTAAAAAAATAATAATAATTTCTTCAGAAATTTTAAATATTTAACAGAGTCCTAAAACTGAGTTTAAAATGTTCACAGAGTTCAATAAGTTCACCATCTGGCTGACAGGATCATCATTCCTGGTTATCTTCAGGGAGGAATTTTATGAAGTGCGCATACAAAAGCTCCTGAAGATTTTTTTACCTCTTCTATTCGTGCATAACGGTCTTTGCTTGAGAAGATTTTTATTACTTTGCCGATAGTCTCTTTCTGTTTTCTAGTTAAATTAGTATTACGTCTTCCGTCTGGATAACTTAAGCTTTTATTTTCGATTTCTGAATGAGAGTTCTAAATATTCTTTTCAGAATCTATTTATCAGTTAATGTTTAATATTTTGTCATTTTCGATATCTGTTTCGAAGTTTTGGGATATTAATTTTCTCTAGGTCAGGTATCCCAATTTCTTGGATGGCTTAAATGATGGAGTCAAAAGAATAAATTTATCGACAATATGTACCTTAAAGACTGTTCATTGTAGCTTCAACTTCACATAACATCGTTGAAAAGTCAAGTTCTAAAAACTTTGTTTTTGTTCGTATTATGTTATTTTGATTTTTCATAGCAATGAATCCTTTTACAATACCCGAGACACCACTAAAATTTTCTAACCGAATTCTTCATTAAAGAAATTTCTTTGCCTTTTCCTTTTCTTTGACAGAAATTTCATATGGAAAAACATAATTTCTGTTTCAACAGTTTGATAAAAATCTTTTCATTCAGAAAATGATGCTTACAAAGTTTCAATTTTTTTTTTTTTTTTTTTTTTTTTTTTTTTATAATTCGATTTTTTTTTTTAATTTCAATTTTTTTTTATAATTCAAAGTTTCAATTTTTAATAATAATAATATAAATGTTATAAGTAACTTTTGTTATAAGTAAATATTCATGCTGCAGTTTCTTTCTTTCCGACACAGCTAAATTGTTGTTAAAAACCCGTTCTGACTGGGGCTAATTATTTTTTTCATCTTTAGCTATTTTGTTCCCTCCAACCATCACAACTCGATAAAATGTTTTGGGCTACAACCACGAGATGACAGATACGCTGGATTAAGAGCTCCCAAACCATAAGCAAGAAGTTCAGAACGCGGTATTATAAAAATCTGTTTTGGAGCAAGTTACGATTTTCCTCCTAGAAGTTGTACTCAAATTCTACTATCATTTTCATAGTCAAATAAAAACTCTTCTATATATTCTACAGGAGCAAAGTGCCATAATCTGAAATATGTCTTAGCTTCAGACCTAATTTCTATCGACTTTGAGATAAATCCTTCTAACTCAGATGCACTATCTACGAAGTCAAAATAGAAGGACTTCTGGAATTTGTCAGTAATCGCTTTGATTTCTTTTAGATTCTTGTTCAAATGGTATCTTATAATGAATTAATAAAAATAGGTTACAAATGGCTCAAAACAACACTCTGTTATGCTGATAGACTTTGATTTTATCTGCCTCCTCCCCCCAAAAATATCTTAAAAATCAATGATCTTCTTCAACTTGAATTTGGAAAAAAGCGTTTCTAGTGTCGGATGCAACAGCAAGAACTTTTTCTCTAAATCTCAATAATATAGCCGGGATTTCTTCTATTAAGTTAGGCCCTTTGAATATGCATTCATTTAAGGATGGTATTCTTCCAACTGTGCACGAGGCATCAAAAACTAATTTGATAGAGAAGTAATGGTATATCTGGCTTAATAACTGGATGGTGACGCAAGTAGTGGCCTCCTCCCTCTTCTAACTTCTTTTTCGAGACTTCCTGTATGGTATTCTCTTCTCTAAAGACTATAACATAATGTTCAAATTTATTTAACTTCTTCACTCTCCTGATAGTGCTAAACAACCTTATTTCTCTTTCATTTCTGTTTGAGGAGTTGTCTGGGTTATTACAAGTCCATGAAAGACCAATATGGTAAAGCATCTCCTCACTTCCAATCAGTTCTTAAGAACACGTCTTGTCTCCTTCCTGGACAACGTTAGAGCGATAAAATTAATTCTTATTATTTCTAGCAACCATAAGTACGGAATTCTGTGTTCTCTCACAGATATGTGAACATTAACATAGTTCTAACACTACTCAAAACAAACTTAATAAATTTAATTTTATATTTAGCATAAGGTTTAGCTTCCGTTTGTGCACATCCAAATACTGTGTGAGCAATAGTTTCTGTACGGAAGGGTTTGAAACCAAGTTCCTTCGCTGTGCTCTTCAAAATTAAATTCGTTTTGGATTCTATGTCTAATAACTTTCTGACTCTCTTAATTCTCTTATTTCAATTAATTAATATTTCTAGTGTCATGAGGGTACTTCTTTTGAACACTGCTGAATTGAGAACATGTTTTTTTACTTTTGCTGAGAGTGCTTGCAGCTTTAATTACTGGTTTCTTTCGTTTTGCCTATTTCAACACAAAATTGCTGTGTATAAGGTTTTCAGCAGACATGACAACATACAAAAGCTTTACACATTTTGGCACAATGTCTAAAGTTTTATTTTTTCTAATATATTTATTTCTGAGTATCAGAAAACTTTATATTCGATTTAGGTAATTTATACCGTTTGACTTACTACTACTTACTAAACTTACTACTGACATCACAATTACTAAAAACTGCGTTGTTCAAAACTTCGGTCGTTCGAAACTGCGATCCAAAAAGACGGATAAAAATGAAAATATTTCTCATTTTCATACTTTCGTCCATCACTTTGGCAATGATGGACACATCTTATTCATCATCATCTATCCTCTCCGGGTGGGTCAACGTAGAGATCTCTGCAAAGCTACTGTCTAGAATCTGTACCTAGCCAGTCTCCACGGGGGTATACAAATTACGAACCTTGTGGTTCTAGAGGCCCCGGAAAGATCACCTATTGGTCGACCCGTGGGTCTGGCAGGACCTAGATCTGAGGGCTCTAGTAGCCCAGGGGGGCGTCCCGGGTTTTCCTAGAGCGACAGGCAATTTGAATTTAGCATTTTGAGTGTCCTTAAGGTATGTTTTCATACCTTAAGGACACTCAAAATGCTAAATTCAGTAACATTCATTCACAAAACTTATAAGATATTTTCTGTCTTCTTTTCGCATGCCTTTGTGGTGTAAAGTTAGCACACTTGACGCGAACTCGAGAGGCCTAGGTTTGTGTCCCGGTGAGGGCACTGCACATTTTTCATGCCTCCAGCATCCAAAAAATGCCGAGTGACTCTGCAGTGACGCTCGAACTAAAAGGTGGTAGACAAGAATTCATCACCCTGGCAATTAGGTCCCTTAATCACCAGTCTTCCTTTAAAAGAAGGAGTATATAAGGTATTTTCTCCCTCCTTTCTGCATGCGTTCGTAGTGTAACGATAGCACACTCGGCGCGTATTCGAGAGGTCCAGCTTCGAGTCCCGGCGAGAACGTTGCACATTTTTAACATCTCCAGCATACAAAAAAAAACCCTGATGTCTCTACGAACTAAGATACACACTTTATTCAAGAATACAAAATTTCTAATATACATTTATTCAAGTAAAAAACATTAAAATTTTATATTTCTGTTTAACCTAAAAATTTAAATATTTTCATTCAACATAACGGATCCTCAGAAAATGAACAAAATTCAAGTAAGCAAAATTTCATTACCTTTTTTTCATCTTAACAGGAACTCTTGAATAAGTAAATAATGTTAAATTATTATTTTCCATAGCGCCTCAGTCGTGCGTTTGAACGGTTGGTAAAATACTAACCAATTGTTTTAATTAATCATCAAAAATTTCTTAATTTTTGCTTTTTCAGTTCATAAGAGCTGTGATTATGTCGGAGATTGCAAGCACTGGATAGAAGTAGCATATAGAAACCATAAAATCAAAGTTCACTCTAATCTCACAGTTGAGTTCGATGGCCATACGTATTCCGCAATGCAGCTGGTTAAACTGAGCAAGAAAACAAAATCAAGAAGAAGTCTGATTATCGAGAAAGTAGGAGACCAAGTTCTTATTAAATCAATTGCAAGAGGCTTTACAATTATGTATGATAACATGGCTCACCTAAAAGTAGAGGTAGGTAATTTTTATTTTATTCTGCTTCCCTACGGAATAGTAATTTGGAGTACTATTATATATTGCACGCATGACGCTATTTATCTATGCTTATTAGACTAAAACAATGAATCGAAAGGAAAAGTGATTTTTTCCCCTTCATCGAACAGCATAAACACTCTTAAATAGCTATGCTGAAATACGATTTACTCTATTTAGAATATCTAAAATTATTTTTTTTATCTTCTTCTTGCCAGTTTCCTCATTAAAACTGTGAACAACAAAAATATGAAGCTAGAATCCGTTGCAGTATACCATTATATTAAGCGCAAGTTGAGGTTAGACAGGACAAAGTATGATACTATTGCCACGCTATTCGGACATTAGGATGAAGAATGTTTATTATTCAGAAAAATTCAGAACGTGGTTATATCCAAACTTAAAAAGGTTTCTTTTGATGCTGTGTACAAATAAATGGAAGCGTGAATATGAGCGATAATAGGCACCTTTGAGAAAGGTATCAGCACGGGATATGCTGACCGTGGAGTGCAATGAAACTTTCCATGCATCGTGTACGTATGAGGGTGTTCGTAGTCATTGGAGAATATATTCGATCAGTAAGTCGCCTCCCCAAAGAAACCAAAACATTTTCAAGAGGTTTATACCTACACAATGTACTGGCTTTACGAGGCGTTGAGTATTATCGCTCTGTAGTAAACCTGAATGGCGACTGTTTGATGAAGTGGTACTTTATCATCCATGAAAAGAAACTTATCACCGAAAGGATCTCGGAAAACGCGAGAATGAGACAGAAGAAACTTCATCAAACTATCATTGATCGATCATAATTCCACTTACAGCCGCATGTAGCGTGCGGCCATTGGTTATGATACCATCCCGTACTATGATATTGCATCTCGAGTACTGATCGCTTTTCTAGATATTTTCTGCAGGATAAGCAGTACCACTCTGATGGTAGTTCAGTTGGCGCCTACAATCCGGTGATAGACTGAACTCAGATGATTCTCAGATGAATTGAAGTTTCATCTGAGAATAGCACGCAAGCATAATTCTGCTCCTCCAACGCTGTGATGCTCGTGATATTATTGCAAATAGACGATACAATGCTGTTTAGACAATGGTACACACACACAGCAGATCTATAGATGCATAGTTCTCCTTCTCCCAGCCGTCGGACTACAATTTTTCAAGAGATCCGCTGTCCTGTGGCCGCAAGAAACTCATTCGCCATCTGTTAAGCTGTGGTGCGCCGGTTTCTTTTGGCAATAGTGCTATGTACCTGTCTCCTGCAGGTGTCGCATATCTAATACGACATTCCCCATGACATTGGCTACACGTTCCTAAAGGCTTTCCACAGCCATGAAATAATGATGAGTCCCTGGCAAGCAATTAGATTATCTCCTTTCTTCGATTTTTCCAGTGATACGGCCACAGGTAAAATCTTCTAAGTAATATCTGAAATACTTACCGAAAATTTCACAATCGCAAATTAAATCTTTCCTATAAACCTTTGTCACTTAGTACAACTGTTGCATGCACGCGTCAAATCTTTTATCAGCGTTATCACGTGATGCACGGAAGAGGAAAGGAAAATCAGCTTACGCACGCCTCTTACTGTATTCTGCATATATTCTAATTGTCCACATTTTACATCGTATAATTTTGTGGTTGCTATGAGTGATAGCATCATCCTTCCTTAGCAGTTGCCCAGCAGTGTACAGTAAAATCCTGACTATCATGTAATCATCTAATGGAAAAGCTCAACTAGCCGAAATATTTTAGAATTTTAGAAGTATTCTTGCTTCTAAAAATTAATCAAATGACAGACTTCCAAGGCCATTATAGAATACCTATGAGACACTGTCACCAAACAATATGATTTAGCTCCAGAAATTGGAAAGTGTTTTTTTCACAAGAGATTTCCGCCTTGGTTTCATGCGAACGCGATTAATTCTCGGTAAAATAATTTAATTTTTTTAAAGAACTATTATGTTTACTGTTTTTTATCTATATTTTCTCACATTTTGCAAAAATAAAATTAAAATTTGGGACTTGTCTTCTACAGAGCAGCCTGCAGTAGAAATGTTTCTAAAGTTACTGGATCCTGGTATGAAGAAAATTCATGTTAATGGGAATTATGCGTGTATTTATTTGAAAACTTTTAAAGAATTATTTAACAGGGAAAATTTTGATAAGTGATTTAAGATTTTTACATAATTTACTTGTAAATAGTATAAGTTGATTATCTAATTAAATAAAAATATCTGCTCCTTTAAATTATTTCGAAATGAATTTGAGCAAGATTATCGTTTTTTTCACCAACTTTAATGGACGAAAGGATTTCATAATTGGATTAAATGATTTACTTTCGTCTCTTTCAGACCTACAAAATAAATCTACAATTTTAAAAGTAGCCATTTGATAAGACGATTTTTTTTAATTTCAGTCAGAAAATTTCTTTTATTCATTTGATTTTTCTGTCATGAGTTGGATTTTTTATACACTCAACTATCCGAAATATTCATGTACACAGCTTTCCGTAGTGTTTAACAGTAGTCGAGCTTTTATCGTATCATCACGTTCCTTCAAAGAAAAATCACCAAAGTTTGCAGACGTTAATTGGAAATTTTAGATCATAATGAAGAACATTTTCCCCTTCCTTTTTATTTGCTTAAATAATGAAAATATGAGCTTGGAGATTGATTAAATATTCATTTTGCTGAGCTCGAATCTGCCTCGGTAGGCTTTATAATTTAGTAAGTGCCTAAGTAGGAACGTGCACTACTTGAGCACTTACTAAATCATTTGATAATCTTTCAGATTTCATTTTCAAAGCAAGAAATATTCAAACTTTGGCTATTTTCAGTTTAAAAAAACTTTTGAACCCTCTGTCTCGAAATGAAGCAAGCGTTAAAATATTAAAACTTGCGTTTTTATGTTTGAATGCAGCCTGCATAAAAGACACATTTTGATTTAAATACCTACATATTATGGATCAAAGCATGCGCAGATCGTAATTTCATTTAGCTCTATTATTACCCGCTTAAATGTGTAACTCATACACAACATGTCTCTTGTCTGTAAGGCAATTTTCTCCAGCCAGAAACCGGTTCGAATTTACCATGAAGCATGGAAATAGAGCTTTACAGGTTTTCACTTATGGACTAGAAATGCGAGAAATGTTTTAAAAGTAAAGAGTCTTCTTATTAACATTATTACATATTTATTTGTGCATTAAGTTTAAAACAGTGGTTGCGCACAAAAAACACTCCACATTCCATTCAGATATAAAGATGTCTGTTTATGACGTTCTTTCCTCGTGTACATTTCATATCTTCTTGTTAGTCTATCCATAGCTGTCTTTTACATAACGTCGAGGATTTGCCTGCAGCGATTATAGTCATTAGTATTAGACGTGTTGTTTAGTAATTTTTGAAGGACAGCTTACTGACACATCTTTCAGTGGAAGAATTACAGTTAATTGTCCCCGCACACGATTACTTCTTTACTGTCTCTTTACTTCTCTGATTTTCGATTTTCTTACTGTCTTGTTTTTGTAAACTCAACACCCGCATAAATTACAAATTAAGGAATATCTTGGAGGACGTACCTATCGAACCCACCGAATGAATAAATCCATCCAACCTCTCTAAGGACTTAATCTTAAAAGAGACGCAGTTTAATTATTCGAACACGAAAACAAATCCACGTGACCTGAAAATAGACACTGCCTAACAATCAATCGTATATAGAAATTCTAGAAAACACTGACGTAACTTCATTGTAAAGTTTCAATTAAATGATATCGCTGAATTTCCAAAAGCTTCTTAAATAAAATAAGAAAAAATCTACATTATATTTCTACGCATTATCTATGTACTTTTTCCCTAGGCATAATATATTTGCTATCGAAATAAAAAATATATAGCAATCATTTATTAATATTTTATAACGCATCTAACTCTCCAGGTGGCAAGGCCGTATATGTGTATTAGAAAATATTAATTCTTATACCGGCAAGGCGGTAAATATTTGCTACTAAAGTCTAGTAATGACAAATGTAGCACTTTAATGCAAAAAGAAATACTTTATTTAATGAAATACTCACTCCTATGCCGGGTATTTAATTTTGTATTTTATGTGAGAAGTCGCATTATGAGGAAAATAAACAGAGGACTCTACTGACTACAAAAGTTGTATGCGCTGATCTTCATGCATTTTTCTCTAAATAGTTTGTTTCCATAATTCGCCCAGTAATTTTTATTCTGTTTCTTTTCTAATATAGTATTATGCATAATGACGTATAATTTATTATTTCAGAATGAGTTATGTAGACGTATTTTGAAAGTAGTGTTAGACATCAAGATTGATCTATCAAATTCAATAAAATAAGTAGAGCTTAAACTCTAATTTTTGCAATAATTACAGGTTTCTCCAGGGTTATTGAGAAGATTAGGTGGTCTCTGCGGATTCTATTCTAGAGTACCAGAGGATGATCAGAAGAAACCAGACGGGAAAACAGCCTATACCAGTCGTGAGTTTGGTGATAGCTGGACAGTTGACTATCTTGAGAAAGACTGCGCGCCTGTAATTTGTCCACACGAAGTCATGTCTAATGCACTGGAAGAATGTAATAAATTGAAGTAAGTTTTCATTTTTATGATCATTTCTATATTCAAATTAACAGTGCCTTACGTCGACTGAATAAATGATAGTTGAGCATTAATTATTTCTATTCTCAGACAGCGACGAGTTAATTCTTTGCAATGCTTAAATTACTAATTAATGTTAGCCTTAAATTCAATTCTGTATAATCCAATCTGGTTACAAATTTTACCAACTCAACTGAAGACTATTATGCCTGGCAGGTTCTGTATGGGGAAAATATCAGACAACTGGAAAGAGCTTCACTGATTGTGCAGCTGAATGTCACTGGAAAAGCAGAGTATCTGAATTTCAGGGTGTTTGATCAATGTATATTCCATGGGTTTTACGGAAAACATCGGAATGAAAAAAAAAGGTTGCTGATCAGTGGGTATACAGAGTGTAACAAAACGGATGCCCGCAAATGGTGTTAGAACATACTACAGTAAGCACGTTCTGTGTAGGAATGTAGGGGCTCAACTGACGTCTCGAGGCACAGACAGAAGAAATAAGGCATGAAAAGAAACATAAATGTTTTACTTGCAGCATATTTGGCAAGTCCTTCTTTTGAATCTATGTTTATAATAATTCCTCAGACCTGCGTTTACCAGTACTGACAGCTTCGATGCTCGATGCTTGGCAACTTCGAGGGAGTAATTACCGTACAGTTTCAAGGATGCCAGGTATTTTTACTGCGCAAATCTTTTATCGTCAACAGTACATGCAGATCCCTCCATCGGGGCATCAAGCATGCATTATTATTGTTGAAGGGAACAAATTTGTATTATTTTTTATAAAGAGTGCTGCAAAGAAGCACTTATCAACGATGCTACGAATAAAGTCATCAGGTTTTTATTTCGATGCAGGAAACTTGAAAATGTAAAAAAATGTGCAGTGGAATCGATTTCCTTGCAGATTATTGAACTCCAAATCTTCCGATTTTTTAGGAGACGTGCTTTCCATTTGCAACGCAAAGTCACGCAATAAGAGGGATAAAACCTTAACAATCTCACCCGCTTAAACGGAGGCTAGAGGTAAAACTCAAGCGCCAAACCCTGGTGGGTATGAATTATCGTCCACCATCTTTATAGTTCGGAAGCAGCTTGTAAAGTTGTCAGTTTTTTATTTCTGTGCAGAAGACGTAAAAAATGTGCGGTACTGTTGCGGGACTCGAACTCAGAACCTTCCGAGTGGTAGCTGAATGTGCTTTGCCCTTACACCACGAGAGCATGTGGTAAGAAGAAAAACTGATATGTCGTCTTGTATTATTTCAGTAAATGTATATTGTACTGTGATTTAATTTTGCTATTGTAATATCAATTTTTATATACATGAAACATATAAAGTGTACTCTTCTTACTAGCCTAAACTAAGTTCAGACTAATAACAGACTAGGGTAAATTATTGCGTCTTAAGAAGGCCTTTGAAACAAACCTTTTTATTAAGTCAGAATAAAAACATAAATGGTGGACTCGTACTAACAAATTCGGGAAAAAAAACAGCTTGTATTCGATAAAACAATAAATTCAAATTTAATACTTAGTAGCCAAGGCTACGCAAATGATTTAACACAAAGTTGCTTCAAACTTCTCACCAGCGTAATAATTTAAATGTCGGCAACCATAATGCAAAACTGAAGAATACAGTCTCATCTGAGTTACCTAACCTTGTAACGTGACCTCCAGAAGCAGAAACACGCTTGTCTTATAATCCGAAAATCTCCCCTTATATATATATCTATATCTATATCTATATATAGATATAGATATACTCTGGAATTGATTTGCATTCTGGTAGAGACACTAAAAGAGAAGTGACAGAAAAGATCTAAGTCATAAAATAACTGGTTGTTCACAATAATGATAACCTTACATATACTTAAGGAAAATAACTTAAGGCAATTTAATGATAAACATATGACAAAATTCAGCTTAAAATTAACACAAGTAAGAGAAACAATCACTGATTACTGTTTCGTCCAAGATCAGTTTAACATTAGCAAAACTTTGTTATGTCACATTGTTAATTACAATAGTTACAATTACTATTGGTTTTAGTCATTTCTTTGCTGCTCTGATTTCGGAAATAATTAAATAAATATTCAGAATTACATTAAATCAACTAAGAATAGAAATTCATCTAAAGTTAATGACAAAAGTTAAAATTTTGAAGTTAATGACGAGAAATGTAATTAAAAATAATGACAAAAAACTGAGTTTTAATTTAAAAGTACTATTTAATAGAAAAATTAGAAACTGTAATAAATGGCATGATTGTAAGTACATAAAAATAGACATTTAATGTGTTAATAAAAAGTTATTATTATTAGTGTTTATTACCATAAATATAACCCTTTTTATAATTCATCAATTATAATCATTTTTAGTGTTATATAAATAATTCTTTTATTATCGATCAATTATAATCATTTTCTAACATTATTTACATAATTATTTTTACTATCAATCAGCTATCATTACTGTTTTTATTATCAATCACTTATAATCATTTTCTAGTATTATTTAAGTAACTATTTTCATTATCAATCAATTATAATTATTTTCTAGTATTATTTACATAAAACAATATATTAGTTTCATGGCTTTCGATAAAATTTATATGTTAATTTAACAATAAAGCAAAAATACAAAAATGTGTATTTAATTTCAAATTACTTCGAAAAAGAATTATGAAATTATTAGGCTACATACTCTTCCTTATTGCCTATTTATTGCTATGAAAAACCAATTACTTTGATTTGTTTGATGTCCCTGGTAGAACCTCACAAAACGGAAGTTCGCCATTACGAAGCCCAAAGAATATCCGGCCAATTTTTCACGTTACTGACGGCTTTCCTCCCACACTCCGTCCTTATTATTCCTATCCTTTAATACTGTTCTATTTGTGGGATACTAGTCTCTCAGCTTCTATTAACCTTTCACATTCTTCGAGCTCTAAGCCGATTAACGCTTTGCAAGCCAGTGTTTATAATCAGCAATGAAAAGAAAAGATGAAATTTTTTTTGAAATCATACTTCTATTTTATTATGCAAATAAAAATTAATTTTAAATATTTTTAGTTCGGAATTGTCTTTAATACATTATTTTGATCTTTGGTTCAAAAGCTTTGAGGAAAATGATGATAGTGTTTTATTCAAAAGTTCACTGATTTTAACAGTTTAGAGAAGTTTAGAGTTTTCTATATGGACGAAACGTAAGAAGTGGCATCAGACTCGCGTTATCAAGCAAACAGTAGTTGAATGTCGTATTTTCATTCATTCCGTGCGATTTAGCATATTGAGCAAAAAATCTCGTTGTTTTATCAGAAACAGATCTCTGCTATGATACAGCTGCATATTTATCTCATTTCTCATTTCCTGACCCTGCTATCCTCTTTTATGGGAAGTAAAGAGCTGCAGACAATGTAAACTATTCAGACGATGAGACGACTAGTCTGTGACAAGAGAGATATTCTCTCAATACTTCCAAAAATGTCAGAAATCATAGCGCAAGGGTACGTATTCTAATGTACGCTGCTGAACAATTGTTAAGCATGGACATTTATCACCCGTAGCAGTCACAACATGAATGGAAGCAAAATGTAGAAAATGACCGTGAGTGCCGATATAGTAAGAAAAGTTGTTCCTATCCAGATTTTCATTTCCTGCTCTGTTCATCACATGATAACGCTGATAGAATATTTAAAGAATTCGAAGCATGAGGACAGTTGTTTTAAAGCGAAAATTTTGCGGGAAAGTTAATCCCTCTGACGATCTCGAAAGTTTCGGTATGTCTTCCTGACATTATACTGATGATATTACGCACGGCTGTATCACTGGAAATTCCGAAAAAGGGCGAAAAATAACAGATATTGCCTGGGAATTCCAGATTACACACATCGTTGTTTCGCGGCTGTGAAAAGCATTCTAAATAACTGGAACGCGCAGGCAGAATTTTACAGAGAATGTCGTGTTAAACGTCACACGTCTAGGAGGAGACAGGTACATTTCCCTATCAGCAAAAGGAAACCGGCACCCCACAGCTCGGCAGGTGGCGAATAAGTTGATTGTTGCCACTCGACAACAGATCTCCCGAAATACCGTAGCCAGACGTTTGCTCTATTGTTTAGACAACGTCGTACCACTCCTTTACAATGGTGTCGCGAGCATTGCAACTGGACTGAACAAGAGTGTTCTTCTTTACTATTCGTAGATGAGAGTAGGTTCAATCTGTTACCGGATTTTAGATGCCAAATTATCTTGCATGAGAGTAGAATTACTTATGGTTCAGAAAATATCCATGGAAGGGACTGATATTCTAGGTACAGTAGATGCAGAGATTCTAGATGTAGTCTAGATGCAGTCTCATGGTATGGGCTGGCATCGTGATCACTGGCCTCAGGTCCTATCCAGGTTGGTTGCATCTGGGACTAGGATAGGCGAACAAGACATTTATGAAGATCAACTGTCTCATTTTCGCCTTTTCTGTCGTACTTTCGGTACTTTCTTTTCATGAATGGCAAAGTTCTATATTCGCTGTTCAAGACTGTCTAGACATCGAAACTATTCAACGCCTCGTATTACACCACATTCTCCTGATTTAAACCCTACTGAAAATGTTTGAGATGCTCTAGTAGACGACTTGCTGGTCAAAAATATTCTCCAACGAACAGGATCATCCTCATCCGTGTATCGACAGAGGAGTGGAATCTGTTGAAGCATGACATGACGTGTAGAAAGTTGCATGGCCCTCTATGGTGGATATATCTGGTACGTTAAAATTTGAGATCTGTCCTTAGCAAATGTCCAGCAGTGTATGTTATTCAGAAAACGATGAGATAACACTTTTTACATTTCAAACAGAATTTCTTTACAAGCATTTTCAGGGAACGTTCTGAGTACAGGAGTACTGTAGACATCCCTTTATGTTATCTCGTTTATGTTATCCAATTTTTTGTTATCTTTCGGATATTGTTACTTAATTGGCGAAGTCCCACTCTTTCGTATGCGAAAACATGGAAATAATCGCTGATTGTGATCAACAATTCAGTTAATATTGTCAAAGTAATATAGAATAATTTTTAAATCGTATAATAAGACACACCACAAAAGAGATTAAGTTTCTAAATGAAGTCAAACTAGATAATTAAAATGCAAGAAGCCAAAAAAATGTCGCCAAGTTTGGAATTCAATCAAACAGCTTGATTTCGATATTTGTCAACCATTTAAAATTAGACAATCCCCTGAAGACATCTACTCTAAATTAAGGTTCCTTTTTTCGCCTAATTTCAAATTTTACATTTACATGTGCTCTTCCAATGAATGTGGGATGCCCTCTGAGTATTAAGATCAAGAGTATGGCACTGGACATAAAATCTAAATAGCTGAGGACAGAGGTGATTACATTAAGCGGCTCCTACTGTATTTCGTTTTGCTTTAAGTAGAATTACAACTTACAGATCTATACTTCCCACGTTTCAAAAGAAGACATTTCTTGAGAATTTTTTCGTAAATCAAAGTGATGCAGAGTGAAGAATCAGTTATCATTCATTAATGATTACCTGAAATAACCTTTATAGCTTTCAGGTACAAAGTATGACCGTCTATTTACGAAAACACGTTACACTTAAAATAGAACTAGTACATATTGGAAACAGAAAAGATATGATAAAATCGCAGTCTATGTAAAGCAAAAACAATCTTCGTACAAAGTGGTTTTTCTCCATATACAACAACAAGTACACATTGAAAGCTCTTAGGAAGTTTAGTCGAAGTCGTTATAATAGGAGGCACAGAAGTTATAGCAGAGAATGGAAACGAATCCGTCTACTAGAAGTTCATAGTCGCTTGAATTCACCAGATTTGGTATGTCTTTAGCATGAGAAACTTTTTGTCTTGCTGTTCAACATGAAAAGTTGAGGTTTATTATCTTCCGAAGCCAACGGAAAAAAATTTGAAGTACCAGAGTAAACTTGATATCTTCTTCCAATTCGTTTCTAATCGCAAAACGATGTCCCGATGAAAGGCAAGTCACCTAAAGGTAAGAAAGCTGAAAATATTTATATTTTTATATGTGAATAAGTTTGATTTCCATGCGGGAACATACGCCAAGTTCACGCTTGATAGCGATAGATATCGCTGAAGAATTCAGGGAAAATATTCCCCGTAGGAATAGATTGTCGAGAGATCACGCTACAGAGCTAGTTCCAATAGATCCATCTCTTTATATACAGCTTGAAAAGCATAAAGTTCGATAAGTAGTTTGGAAATGATAGACAAAAATGATCTATAATTTGTAGGATGGGGGAAATGATGTTAAACAGTATGGGGAAAAGATGTTAAATTCCTACTTAAGTTCTTCTGCACTGCTCGTATATTGTTATTCATTAGAGAAATGGTCTCAAACTGGTTGCCCTCGAAGCACTTTTATGCGAGCAAGGAATATATTTCAGTTATGTCTTTATTACAAATGCGCTGTTGCAAAGAATTTAATTATTTGAAGTCCGAGTTTGCTTGATTTTTATTACCATTAAAAACGGACTTGAGTAATGCACAAGAGAATCTATAAGTGGAGCTTATTTATTTACAATATGGTATAAATTTTTTCAAAGATTTAAGATACAGATTTAATTAACTTTTATTTGTACTTTTAAAAAAAAATGCATTCAGTTACGAATTTTTGCGCTCAGAATAATCGCTTTGTTTTAGAATACATTTATATCTGATAGCTACTTTTTGTAGTTAAAAATTATCAAGAAAATAAACCGATTGTCTGATGAGCATCTACAATCTACGATGAAGATAATTTCTAGTAATTTTTCTCGAAGGTTACTGACTTTATCAGAATCGAATCGCGATCAAATATCAAGCTGCAGTAAGAAATAATGTAGTTTACAATTATTTACATAACAATATATGTATTTTAATTTATGTGAGAAAGGAACATCTAATAAGCAAGAGAAAGAGACAAGAGTCATTATTTATTCTCAAGAATTGTTCCACTCGGAAAATTTCTCTGTAAATTTAGAAAGTCTTCATAATTTATTTATGTACAATTTAAATTAAAACATATTATTTAAATATATTAGAATTAGAACAGAAGAGAAACACGCTAATGTGGCAATCAAAATCGTAATAACGACCTTGTATTTAGCGTACATATATTAAAACACTCAATCGATTTCGAGGGCAGCTAAAGGTCCTTCCTCATCAGGAGAACGAAATTACTAGAAAGGGGGAAAAAGAAGAAAAATAAAGCATCGGTAAAGGAGTATCAGAAACACGTGGTCGTTATCAGCACAGCACGTTGTCGTAACCGGATTTTGAATCAGAGTTACACTGGCCGCCTACTTTTACTGAGCCAGGCTATCTGATCAAACATATAACACATAGACTAAAACGAAAAAAAAAAAAATCAGCGAAGTCAAAAAAAATAGGGAGCGAGGGGCACCTGCATCTTCACGCACCAAGTCTGAACCTCGAAACTCCTTTGCCGATGCTTTATTTTTCTTCTTTTTTCCCCTTTCTAGTAATTTTGTTCTCCTGATGAGGAAGGATCTTTAGCTGCCCTCGAAATCGATTGAGTGTTTTAATATATGTACGCTAAATCCAAGATTGTTATTACGGTTTTGATATTAGAATTATTTGAAATAAATCTCAGTCTTAAATATTTATATTTAGCTGTCAATATTTGAATTACAAAGTGTAAACAACAAAAATATTTTATAGGTAGCAAACTTTAGATTTCAGGTAGAAAGAGATATAAATTTGAATGTTTACCTTCGCGTTATTATCATTACTCTTTCTGTTATGCCTTGATAAATATTTAATAAGTAAAATTTTAAACTTACTTATTTTTTATTTTGCTTTAAAATAAAAAGTTTTAGCCAGTAAGCTGTTTTCAGATCCTGCATTTGGCCACATGCAATTTCAGTTTTAGAGCACAATAATGAGAATAAATACATTAAAGTCATTTTATAAGTATTTATTTATGTTCACACATAGCTTAAGAAAATCTGGACAAATTTTTAACACGGCTTTTGCTAATGGCAGTTATTAGAAACTTGATCGGAGTATGTTTAAATGTGCTCAGATTAAAATGCATGGACACTTTTAAATACCATACAACGATAAATAAATTCCTTTTTCTTCCTTCCTAGGGCAGAGCCTTTCACTGAATGTGGTAAATTACTATCAGTTGAAAACTTTATTGAATTCTGCATGAGCTCAATTTGTGAATGTATGCACCAGGGGAAAATTTTAGAAAAATGCAAATGCGACAGTTTTCAACCTTTTGCCGAAGAGTGCGAAGCTAAATTAGGGCCTAAAGCTATCAGAACTTGGAGACTTAAACACGAATGTGGTAAGTACGTCTATATTTTAACTTCAGTACTGCTGTTATAGGTTAAAATGCAACGCATACTTGCTGCTTTCGAAACTTTACTTCAAAAAGATTAATTATATTTTACAGTTAATGGCTTGAACGTTATTGTTAAAACATTGGAAAATCCAAATGATCAGTAATACACCTAAAAATATCAACGTAAACAACCTCTTGTATCAACGTACCGAAAAATTTAAAGAATTTTTTAGAATAACAATTTACGATTTTTTTAAGAATTTGCTAAGTTGTACAAATCAAAAGAGCAACGACTAAAATAATAATAATATACTAATTCGTAAAGTTGCATATTCGTTTTCTTAAACTTTCCAACGTGAAAAGTGGCAGAATCCTACAAACTGTGCTGAAGCTTGTCTGTAAAATTAATTAGATATTTTACATTTTGAGCACCTGTAAAATTACTTTTGTATTCATGAATAAGATACGTTATCTTAACTTATTATCAATAAATTTTAAAAACAAAATCTGTTAACAGCGGAACGCGCAATCTTGGATACTTACAAAGGTTTTAACTATAGCTCGTTTACTAATTCAGAAGTCAAACAACAAAAATCAGCGTAATATTTGCAAAATTTTCACAGGACTAGTTTCGATGGTTTTACCGAACCACCATCTTCAGCTGCAAAACCGCAAATGAACAAGATAGGAAATAATGATTAGATAAGATAAGAAAGCCTGGACAAGAATAAGCAAGTGGCGCCATCTGTTGGCGAAACCAGAACTAAAACATAATTTCTCTAAAAGCCGAAGGCAAATTTGGATTGGAATTAGGATCGTTAACTAGAACAGAAAGATTTTTATGAATGTGAAATGCCTCTAGAAAATCCAGTTCTCCAGGCTTTCTTATCTTATCTAATCATTATTTTCCAGGCTTTCTTATCTTATCTAATCATTATTTCCTATCTTGTTCATTTGCGGTTTTGCAGCTGAAGATGGTGTTTCGGTAAAACCATCGAAACTAGTCCTGTGAAAATTGTGCAAATATTACGCTGATTTTTGTTGTTTGACTTCTGAATTAGTATTTATTCGGCGTGTTATTGTGTCTTAATTATAGCTCGTTTGTTTAAAATAGGCACTTCAAGGCCGTTGACAGCCCTCTAAACGTACGATTGTGACGTGTGTCGTATTCACCGGACAGCACTTATTTTCTTCACCTCATTTGGGACTGTTGTTCAAGTCAAACTTCATTCGTGTGCATTTTAAGAAGCGAAACACACTAAACTGAAATAGAATGTATTTCTAAGTCTAAACTAAAATAGAAAGTATATATTTTTTGAATGGGGAATTAGGCGACTGAGATCATCTGCTACAACTGTCGTTTCCATTACTAGGCAATTCATTCGGTCGATTAAAATTGACCCTGAAGTATCTATTTTGAAGTAACGAACTATAATCTCAACTCAAACAATACAGAACTGATTTCAGAATGCATTGGCACTTCAAATATGTAATAAACTTTAAAATTGCAATTATTTTTTTAAATTGCCCTAATTATAGATTTTTTGTGAAGACAATTCGATTTTTTTTTTTTTTTTTTTTTTTTTTCATTTTATTTTTTGTAATCATTCTAGAGCAATCGTGATGTAAAAGCATTTCTTCAAAATATTAAATTGTTTGAAAAATAAGAAAATTTTTAATTCAGATCGAAGTAGACTTTCATACATTTTCCTCAAAACTACATTTTTCGTCTTGATGATCACGATGTCTCGAAAACTAATAGAACGCTGTTTTTCAATTAAGACTCAGTCGGCTCCGGTTTGTAATCTGTCTCTGCTAGAAATAATAAAAATGCTCCATTAATTATTTGTTTCTTCTAACCGATAATTGTAAAACTCTTTTTTAAGGCTACTGTTCTTTACTCAAATTTATTTGAAAGATTCTATTTCGGACAATTCCCTAGAAAGCTCTCTCTTAAAATATTGTACTTTTAAATCAAATATTTAAACTAAAATATTAAAATATTAACGATTATAGAGAAACTTTTAGAGTTGTATGTTTAGTTCTTGACATTATAAAAACCCTGAAATTTATTCTTTTTAGGATTTTTCAACTAAGATTTTTCTTTTAATAAGAAGTGTATCATTGGTGACGCAAGTAATAATATTAAATTACGTATTTATGTATATTATGAGAATTTTCATTTATTTAAATGGAATTTGTGTTCATTTATAGGATTAGGAAAAAAATAATTTATTGATTTTAAATATAAAAGATCTTGATCCTTTATGCATAGCTGAAAAAGTTTTAAAAAAATTACATCTTGTATTTTAAATATTCATTCCCGAATAAACTTCAGTAATTCTAGGAAAAAATAATCTCATTTTTAGTAATTAAACTTAATGATTATAAATGTTTCATCCTAAATTCCTCATTGAATGCTTAGAAATTGCTATTTAGTTAACATCTGCGTTGAATATAAAAGCATTTCCCTTTGAGCAATTATTAAATTTTCCGAATATCTAAAAGAAAATAGTTTAATTATTTAGATATTTTTACTAAGAATTGACTTTGCAATTTTGGTTCAAATCTAAGGTTTAAAATTTCATCCAATGGTGACTGTAATGAGTTAACTTGGCAGTTCTGATTCATATCTGACGAGTTAAAATTCCATTTTATGATGATTGGGAATTACCACAAACTTATTATTTTCCATTGCGCGTGATGTTAAATGGTATATGCAGAATGGCAGCATGAAATAACTAACAACATTTGTTGAGCCATCATGTGGTAAACGAATTAAAACTTAGTATAACATAAAGAACTTAATATTAATGCAGTTCGACTAGTGCTATTTTCCACACTAAGGGAAGGGATTAAAGGTCAAAGTCAATTTATGTGAAACAGAACTATTACCAAATGTTCCAGAAATAACAGTTTTAAGTGCTCCTTCATTTACATCGTCGCTGTCAATTGTTATTAATTTTATCTTTTCCAAAAATCGTGAAAATGTCATTATTTTGTAGAGTCATTAGATTTATTTGAAAGCAAGAAACAGGAAAAGTAAGCAATGTCCTTGCAAAGATTCGAGTTCCAGACCTCCCGATTGCTACTAGAACGTACTTCCAATCTCATTCTGAAGGTACGAAGTAAAGAAAAAAAATTCTTTACATTCTCCTCCACTTAAATGTCAACTGGGGAGGAGGTAACCCAATTGCCAGATCCTAGAGGTGATAAATTATCGCTCACATTATTTTAGTCCAGGAGCTACTTCTAAAATGCTTTGAGTTCAAAGCAGGAAAGATAAAAAAACTAGCTATGCCCTGGCCGGGATTCAGAACTAACGAATGCTAGACGAACTGACTGACAGTTACACCACAAAGGCATGCAGTAAGGAAAGAGAAAATTTCTTACGATCTTTTACTATCATAATATTCAAAATTATTGAAAAGCTTTCCAGTATTTAAAACATTTTTTGAATCCAGAATTACTGTATGCATGCAGTAATATTTTTTTTCCTTCTGATCAGCATCATAATATATGACGACAATAAAAACAAAACCTTTCTTAAATAAAATATTCTCCTTCCTACAGAGAATAGCTCCTTGATTTTGCTTATCTACAACTGCGGTAATTTAGTATTACAAGCGTAAACGATTTTCTGTTTTGCAAAAGAAAAGCTAGCAACGAATGAGACTCGTTAATTCAAAACAAACTTTTAAATTAAAGAGAAATTTAAAATGAACTGCTTTCCGTTTCTTTTCAAATAGAATTAAAATCTAAGGTGTTACGAATAGCATCACACCTCTTTACAACGAAGAATGTTACTTTACTTGCAGAATTTAGAAGTCAGCACGTACGAATTCGTGGCTCCACTTAGCGTACAAAAAAAAAATTGTTTTTTTCAGTTCTCTTCCAGGTTGTGTGAAATTAACAATGTGTTCAAAGAAACAAGTTACAATTAAAACTCTTTAAGTAATGCCTCAAACGTGTTTAACAGGTATTATCTTCCTTCACATAGTTTCTTTCAACAACTTATCTGAGTTTCGTAAGCAAGCTTTGACTTATAAATCTCTACTTTTTATAATAAATTAGAAATTCATTGCATCGATATTCTGTTACATTCAGTTTTGTTTAAAATTCAAGTTTTTATGTTCGTGATTTTAATAATTTATCGTGAATTATTTATTCGCTTTGCAACTCTTTGTTAATATATATAACACAGCAATCTTGAATATTCCTTCCTGAACTGCTTCATTAGTTACACCTAACCATTTAACAGAGGGAGCGTTGATAGCTGTATGGAAATTATTCAACCAAACTCAAAGTTTTACTGAGTTATAAGGCTGTTAATAGTTTCTTACGGTATATAACGCTTCCCAAAAAATTCTAAATAATACTCGTATCATACATATAGCATGAGATATCGTCATATTACATAGGTTATTTCCAAAGTCATTTCCTTCTTTCATTCAAATCTCTATTTAATATTAATGTAAGTAGCCAAATCTGTATTGAACATTAATAAAAATAAAACTTTTTAGCAAGTCATTACGAAAATATTTAAAATTTCAGCACGTTCGCCCACAACTAACTATAAATGCTTGGAAATAGGTCACTTTTGAAAAATATGATATTCACTACAACGCTCCGATTCGCTTTACAACTGCTTTAAGCATCATGCTATGATCCAATGATTTGTGGGTTCTATTCTGACCCGTGGCAGAGCAGCTAAGAGCATTAATTTTCACAGGTGGTATTGCGACCGTCAAATGTAATTAAAGCCTTTAACTTCGGCGTGTGTTTCTAAATACAGGACGAATGTGTTGTAGAGTTCCAGTTCGAAGAAACTAGAGACATCAACTTGAACCAAATAAACAGACATATCCTTGGTTATAAAATGAACACTAAGCTTTTTATTTACACTCATACACAATATTCGAATCTGTCAGTCTGGGGCGCTTCCGAAACATAACTTCTCAAAGTACTTTTTTGTTTCGTTCTACTCTAAATGGCCTTGTCAAAGGTAAAAAATAAAAGCAGTTTTAACTTTTATCTGCTGCCATTATTGCGTAAACCAGTAGTCTCCTAAGTGGGATACGCGTACCTCAGAAGATATGCTAAGTGATGCTTGGGAGTACCAGAAAGAAGTAAGCTCACGATCACTTGCGAGTATATGATTGTGTATATTATATTACATAGGGTACAAATTGTAATGATTTTCGTCTTAGAGGTCATCTCAATGACCTGAACGACCAGTTACTAGGAAAAGATCTACTTGTTCATAATGTTTATGACTCCATGAAGGATGCTGAGACAAAATTAATTCTATGATAAAGTAAACTACTAAGTAAGAATTCCATTCACTTTCCAAACTTGAAGGAGTTAGGAAATAAAACTACAACATGAAACTCAGATGATTGTCAAATCTGAGAATAGAATTCAAAAGCAGATTTTCTGCCTCCCGTGAGATGAAATTTTCATGAGAATGTTCTCCTCACTTTTCTCAGTAGCCTTCGAAAGTGTTCCACCTAAACTTCAATTAGAATTTTTAAGATTTTCAGTATGACTCTGCAGTAAAATGCAAGTTTCTTGAAAATCCTACATAGATTGATTGATCTTAATTCAACGTACATGCTCGAAAACAAGTATCCAAGAATATGTAAACATATAAGGCATTTCTCCCGCCTTCTTGGCATGCCTTCGTGGTGTGGTGGTCTGCACGCCGGGCGCATATGCCAGAGGTCCGTGGTTCGATTCCCGAAGAAGGCGTTGCATATTTTTCGTCTCTTCTGCTTCGAAATAACCTAATGTCTCTACACTAGCGCCCGAAATAAAAGGTTGGTGGATGATGATTCTTCACACCAGGATTTGGCGACTGGGTCTCCTAAAAACCCCAGTCGGCCTTTAAAAGGGAGGAATTTCTCCCGCCTTCTTGGCATACCTTCATGGTATGGTGGTCTGCACGCTGAGCGCGTATTCCAAAGGTCCGCGGTTCGATTCCCGGCGAAGACGTTGCTAATTTTTCATCTTCCCTGCTTCCAAAAGTATACCTAATGTCTCTACAAACATGCATTCTATTTTTATCGTCTTAGGGGTATGCGATCAAAAACGTTTGGAAATCGCTAGCGTAGATCAGCAACAATTAATTTTCATTATCAGTATGTAACAAAATGGCAAGGAGACCAACTAGTTTATAATTAACAGCGGCAGCAAACATCTTTCATTTGGCGCTGCAGAATTTTCAACAGTGCAGTTTATAAATTAATTTTTTTAATAAAATTTCATGAACGAAAAGATAGATGCATAATTCTTTAGGATAATTGTTCATTTATGAGATCTCGGAGTTATTTATTATTAATCATTAAAATTTTTCATTACTTTCCTCTTAGTTCCAAAATGTCCATCGGGAATGGAGTGGAATGATTGTGGGCCGTCCTGCCAAATCACTTGTGACAGTGCCTCTAATACTTCATTGGAAGAGTGTTCCGGGAAGTGTGTGCCTGGTTGTTTCTGTCCACTTGGCACGGTACTCAATGAGGATATATGTGTTCCTCCGGACCAGTGCGCTGATCGTAAGATTAACGTCTATGATTGATACATTTTGTACTAATAAGCAAACGTTTGGAACTATTGCTATTATATTTTGCTTTAACAGGTGAATATTGTCTTCGTACTGTAATACGCACTAATGTATGTAAAATTACAACTTGCCAAAAGGTTTGTAGTTTATGCTACATTTTTCAATAATATAATCAGTTTTGCTTGTTTTCGATGAATTGATTGCCATATATATTATTTACGTAACTCTTAAATTCTTTCAGTCTAACATCAAGATTCCCAACGGATTCATTTACATTCTGTAATACTTATATATCCATTAATTTGCATCACTTTTTAGTGTGATTTAAGTAGCTTCATAATTTTGTTTGATGAACAAAGAGCGGTGTTATTCCCAAATCCTTATAAATTTTCTTCTTTCAGAAGTATGTCAGGGTTTTGGTGATCCTCATTTTCAGACATTCGATGGATTGATCTTCCCACTCCAGGCAGAAGGATCCTTCTTGATCGTTGGAGATAAAGAAAAAGACATTGCTATCAATGGCTTTTCAAAAAAGTGTGGACTTTTCTCTTCAACAACCTGTCTGACAGGGCTGGAAATTCTTTATAAGGAAAGTAAAGTACTTATCAAAAAGCACAAAGAGGTATGGAACAAAATCATTCTGTAATACTAAAAAGTGCTTTATATGAAAAAAGAAGTACGAAGTAACGATTGGCAAAATCACTTTTATAGGATCAAATCGGAATCACCCGCTCTCTGAATTGAATCGGTTCTTTTACGACTCACCGCTCGCTAAGCAAACTTGATAAAAAAAAAAAAAAAAAACTTTGGAAACGGTAAGTTAATCAAGATCGGTTAGCGAGGATGGAGCGAAAGAATCAAACAAAGAGTGAAATCGGAGGAATCCACTCAATCAAACGCTAACTCCCTGAACTGATTTCTTTCAACCATAGTTTTGATATTCCTTGAAACCGCCTTTCTACATAGAACTAATAATAAATTTCTAATACAAAAAAATTTTTCAAAGAGTAATTATAAAAAACATAAACGCGTTTTTGACAATGGTGAATAAACATTCTTTTCTTCCCTAGAATAAATTGTCAAAATGCTACCATTCCGTTTTCTAGAAATAATAAATTTCTAATACAAAAAAATTTTCAAAAAGTTGAGTAATGATAAAAAAGTAAACGCGCTTTTGACAATGGAGAATAAACATTCTTTTCTTCCCTAGAATAAATTGTCAAAGTGCTACCATTCCTTTTATAGAATCAGGATCCATTCGCTCAGTAAAATTGATTGGTTCATTGAATCAGTTCTGGAGCGAATCATCAAACCCTAGTTTAGATCCAATGCTGGCTATCTTCTTGTTTTCAAGGATTCTCTTATCGTCACAATATTACATTCTTTTACAATTAAAATTTAAATTAGATGTATTTGTGAGTATTAATTGCTTCTGTATTCACATACTGTTCTCACAAACTTCCTTTTACATTGAAAGTTCCATTAAAGTTCAACTGAATATGATTTTTAGCTCAAAAGGCGTTAGCCCAGAAGGACTATTAATTTTGTTTTTTCATTTTTCGTTGATTCACTATAAATGTCTGTTCACTTTTCAGACTGTTGCCACCAAATATTACAGACCTGCATTATGTTTAAAGAAATTAAATAATGAAGAATCTGCATGAATGTATGTTTCTCGCGTTGCGAAAAAACAACCGTACTTACTTAGAGACATCAAATTTTCAATAAGTTATCCTCCACTAAATATGGGCATCTGGAAGCCCATACTTGGAATTTGAAATTTGTTTTATTATATATTTCATATTTTGTACATCTTTAATTAATTCTTGATTAAGAAACTCAACTATTTCAAAGCGAGCAATAGCAACACTGTACGGGGTGGGGGGATTTTTTATCTCCAGCAAGCGAGACTGTGAATCGGAAATTCTAAAGAATGCTCGTTTTAAAATTATTTTGCGATATTACTGTTGAATTGAATTTTATGGTTTAAGTGCGAAGTGATATTTAATAAACAAAGGCGACACACAAACCGTTAACAAAACGCCCCTTTGGGCAGAGTATAAAATCTGAAAGCTTTCAGATTTTTATTATTTTTATTTTTATTTTTTCGGGGTGATAAAATTCAGTTCTGCTTCCATTTTAGCATCACATCTACGGAAAAATTTGTTTCGACTGACTGCATCTAGAATATTGTCGGTGTACATAGAACTAGTAATAAAATTCTAGAATAGAAAAGTTTTAAAAAAGTTGGGAAATAATAAAAATCAAACTCGCTTTTAACGTTGAAAGATAAACATTCCTTTCTCCCCTAAAATGGAAATTGAATTTCCCTTGCACGGTTTCAATAAAATCTCTCGGTGGGTTATCTCTGAAGAGGTACACATCTTTTTTCGAGAATCAGGCTTGCGCTCGCTTAGTAGATGAATCTGTTAATGAATGCTCAGTAAATGTATGATACATATTTACATGCACGCACCCATAAAAAAGTCAGAGATGTTTCAGGTAAATAATAAAAGAAGACCATTAGCATTTACATTGGAGGATCCTAGAACACTTCTAAGCAGAGCTCTGCGTGAACTGTAAAGGTGTTACCACTTAGTTTTTGGAATCACTGTTCATTCGCTCCTTAAAGTGAATCGCTTCTTTGAATTCAGCTCTGAAGTAAACCATCCAACTTTTATAAGCAGTAGTTTCTAAAGTGGAAATTATGTGCAAATTTTCTGTAGATCCAAATTTTCAAGGGCAAATTTTATATATATGAATGCATAGAAGGAACTCAGAAAGCTTGTTGAATGGATCAATAAGCCTCTATGGTTATGAAGTTGAAATACATCCATATATAACAATATTTTACAAGATAACGGTTTTCCAGAAATTTTAAAGTAATGACTTTTTAGATACTTTCTATATCTATTCCTTTGCAATATTTTCCATTTCGACTAGGATTGCCATTCTAAAATTGAAAATTAGGCATAAAGAAGAAACCTTAGAAACCTTTGTAAAGCTTTTAGCTCCCATATGATGTTTGTCGCTAAAGTTAAAATTTTGTTATCGGTTTTTAAACTACTTCCTGGTAAGGTGTGGCGTACAAATTTTGTACGCACACTATTATAATAATACAATGTAGTAAAAAGACCAAAACTAAAAAAACTTTTTAAACTAAAAATCTCAGAATTTTGCTGCTTGAACCATGGGATACAGCACAAAAAAAAATCTTTTAAATGAAATTGATATACAATTTTTAATGTAATGTCTAATTTTAAAGTTACAAAATTCGCACAATTTTTTAGATTATTGACGTTCATTACCTTAAACTAATAAACTTTATTAAGATATAAAGATGTATTTGCAAAGTTATCATATCTTCACAGATTACTGAACAAACTATTCACCCTCTTTTAAAACAAAAATATTAAAAAATGTTAATTTTGAGATTTTATAATTTATTTTTCGAAATGCTTGAGTGCAAAATAGAAGGAGGAATAATTTATTGTTCTTTAACCATCACTTGGAAACATGATTTCAGACTTATGATGTTATTATCTTACACCATTGTTCTTATTTCTGCATCAATTCCTTATGATGTCATTATGTCACTCTATTTATTTTACTTCTGTATTGATTCCTTATGATGTTTATGTCATACTATGTTTCTCATTTCTATATTGATTCGTTATGATGTCATTATGTCACATTATTTTTCTAATTTCTGTATTGATTCGTCTTGAACTGATTTTATTTATTCATTTATTATTTCTCTGTTTTCAATTTTACCCTTTTCAACTTCAGAAATTCTCTATAAGCTATTTCTAAGAATTTATCACTATTTGCCACCGATTTGCGTAACTACTTCTAATACGGAAAGGAAGCAAGCTAGCTACGAAGCACAATTCAGGTTGGAATTTAACATATGGAAAACTGGAGATAAAAAAAAAAATTCTTTACTGATGTCAATCGCATAAATAAAAATCTGATGTGTACACCACATGTCTTCCTTGTACGGAATATTAAATTATACGCATTTTTCTTGCATTTTGCTTAAACTTATTGGATTGAATTAAACCTACTTCGCCGACAGCGCATAAACCACAATAGAATAAATGCATTCTTTAAAATTCGCTTTTTTTGTTACCATAGTGACACTCTGGCGCTAGGTTCACTTAACTGTATTATATTTCGTTCATATTATAACTCAGAAAGCACAAAATTTATATCATTTAAAGAATTATCAAATCGTTGCCACATGTTCTATTCAAATACTATAATAAAGCTAGAGCGATGTATAAAAGAAATTAAGCAAACAAAACGAAAAGAAAAAGTTTTTCACAGAGGATTTAGTATTTCTTATTCAATTAATTCAGTTCTCACTTCGCGACAAGGCAAAAATACATAAAAACTTAAAATATCTGTATTCAAAATTCCGAAGTAAATCTTAAACACTTATTTCCTCGAAAAAATTCCAGAAAAGATTAAGCATGATTTAATTGGCAATAATAAATGAAGGCGTTATCTTTGTTGTTGCGAAGCTACGTTTTTCTACATTGTCAACAAATTCACTACTCTGCTCTTTCAAATGTAAACAAGCAATGGCCGCCATCAAAAAAAATTATTACGCTTAGCGGCACTTAAACAACTTTAAAATTGTTGATAATTCTAAAATTATTGCATACAGATTTATTAAAGGCATAAAAACCTCCACCGGAAGATAAGAACAACATAATTCAATCATTTTTAAAGCAAAAAAATGTACAATTTACAAACATATAAGAGTAAAGAAACTGAGATTACTGAGCCGGGTAACAGAGTGGTGCAACCAAAATACGAGATAGTAGTCCTATATACAAAATTTCAACGTTCTGAGGCTACTCGTTTTTCAGTTATGCGAGATACCTACGTACGTACGTATATAGGTTCGTACAGACGCCACGAAAAATTCTCTTCGGAATTAATTTTAAAGCAGTTTTATAATTTTTTTGGAGGAAACGAGTCTTTTATTCTGTCCTTACGTACAGACATCATGCAAAAACAACGTTAAATTGCATTCGATAGCGGTCAAAATGGATATTTTCGTTGAAATATGCTGCCTGAAACTTTTCGCGGTTACAATACTTCCTTTTTACTTCGTACAAGGAATTAAAAATGAATTCTCGTAACTTTATCGTTCAACGAATGAGAGCTTCCCTGAATTTTAAAGTGGATTCATCCACATAGTGCCTGTTTCCGCCTCACTAACAGAAACTAACCCTCGCAAACTGCCTGAGAAGGTATCACCGAATCTTTCCCTTTCTAACTGTTGAACTTTATACCAGCCTAATACAAGAACCAATTCATCACTGCGAAATAAACATGAACTGATATTCAGTCTACGATTTTGCCGAGTCAGCTGCACATTCATCTTCTCTAATTATTTATGGATGGTTTGACGCCTAAAGGTGTAGCAGAGACAGCAGTAAGAATGGGCGAGATTAAAATTCCAGGGAAGTGGAAATGAAGATATTTTATTGGACATTGGATGTAATGTTAATATTGCAATGTGTTCTTACTGGAATGCAACTTTATAAAGAGATACTATTGGGGTGGTTACCTGTAGTTTATTGATAATTTCAATTTATTTGTTGTGTT